ACGTCAAGTACAATCGGCGTACCAACCACCATCAATTACTAACACAACCAGCTTCAACTTCGACAAATCACGCTTCAGTTGCTGAGAATAGGATGCTGAACACTTGGAGAAATTGACCTTCAAGCAGGTCTGTCATGAAGCGAACAGTGGAACGGTTGGCGCAGCGTAAGATGATCTGTGGGGCTTGAGGTGTCATGCATCAGTGTATCGAACCGTCAATAGCCAGAGCGTCTAGGCCCTATAGGAAGTATCCTCCGGGCGAAATAAATCCATACCATACTTGGTCCGTAAAGCACTCAAAGCGCATCGATAAAGCATTGCCGGGCAAGCACACCCGCAAGATGTACGACGAGCTAACTAGAAAGGAATCTGAAGTGTTGGTACAACTTCGAACTGGCAAATCACGACTGAATGGCTACCTTTGCAAAATCGGGGCAGAGGAATCGGATGAGTGCACCTGTGGACAGTCGGCGGAAACGGTGGAACATTTCCTCTTTCGATGCAGAAGATGGACGGTACAACGAGAAATCATGCTTCGATATGCTCGCGGAAAGATGGGAAACCTAGGTGTCTTTCTTCCTAGGAGGCAAGGCAGAGTCAGACGACGACAAGTGGCAGCCCGATATGGGGGCTGTACGGGCGACAATACAGTTCGCATTGGCAACGAAACGCTTCAGTATGGACCGACGAGGGACCATGTACTGATCAAGGGATAATCATACTAACACAACAGCCTTCAACTTGGCAGACCGCGCTTCAGTCGCTGAAGGTAGGACGCTGAACACTTGGAGAAACTGACCTTCAAGTAGGCCTGTCATGTCACAGCGAACGAGGCTGGAAACAGATGAAAAGAAGCGTGGGGCTTCAGGTGCGATGGAACCATGTACAGTAGGTACGTAGCTTAGCGTAGTGGCTCTATGGGGGAACCCTCCGGGCGCAATACAAAATAATAATACTTGGTCCGTGCACGACGACAAAATGTCACTGAAGACACCTTCGACAAGATGGACAAATTCACACCATATGGTGAATTAAAAATACGAAGTAATTGATTGAGCTCAATGATAATGTCCAAAAAGAGAGGGTAGGCAAATCTTACGTGTTTTGTTCCAAAACGAGGAGGGAAATCAGACGGGGAATTTGCACGAATTCTCACGCCACGGTCACGCCACCGCCCCTTCCCTCTTCAAGACATTGTTCTTCACCCAATGCTTCAATAGGATATCCACAGCGGGGTTTTGGTGGCTGATTCAGCGGCTGAGCGCCACAACACCGCAGTTTAGCGTCCGTGCCCTCAGCGGCTTCCAATATCCACCCTTGTCCACGGTCGGCCGGACGGCCGACCGCCAAACGCCGCGTCTTGAAGGGCTCTCAAGGCTCGACGAGCTCGTCAAATTACGAGGAGGAAACAAAAATAGTGTATTTCTACCTCTTTAGTTGTACAACTTTTGCCTTTCTGTTGGCTCGGAGCTGTTTGCAAAATAAGTCCAGCGAGCAGCCGGTTTGCTGCTGTTGTAAGTTGACAATGTGCATCGCGGCCTCCTCGCTACACCTGTGGGCCTTCGCCACCTTGCGAATCTCCTTATAACCTCGAGCCGTAACGAATACCACTGCATATTCATTTTGTCGCCCGGCGCGCCACCGGCTTCCCATCTACCGTCGAGGTCGGCAATGGCTGGCCCGCCTCGAAGCCAACCGTCCACTCGCTCCAGAGCGCCTCGACCATTTTACTGCTCGGCACATCTGATACCGTGGCGGTGGCTCTGTCTTAACCGTGATCGTATCTGTCGCCGTCGGGCTCGTGGCACGGCTATCAACAATGCTCGACTGAGCCGAGACGAATCGGCTTCCATCTCCTCGTCCTCCTGCCCAACGACATCAACCACGGCCGGGGCCGTGGTGGCAGTGGTGGTCGTCGCGGCCGTAACGGAAGTTGAAACCATTCGAAAAAGACGACTGGGCTACCGCAAGACGTTCTTCGGTGGCTCGAAGCTGCTCGCTTAGCTCTGTTTTAAGCTGGATCGTCCTTGCTTCGTTCCGCGCGTCGATGGATTTAAGATAGTCCGCGAGGACCGGCATCGCCTGGACTAGGACTGCAAGCTGGCTTGACGCTCCTCTTCAGGATGAAGTCCGATAGCTGGTGCGCGAACGGGCGTAGGCCGGATGCCGGAAGACCGGGTGGTTCCAAACGGGGCTGCCGGGGTATTTCTTCATCAGGACAACGGAATCCTGCAAGACAACCTCCCGTAAATAGAAGATGAGGTTCGTCGAACCCATCGCTGCCAGGTCGTTCTCCTGCTCGGTACCGGGACCGAACCGGCCTCGCCAACGGTCCAGCTCGGGCCAGATCATCGAGAGCAGGACCTCCGGCGGCGTCACGCCGGCACGGCGTATCTCGAAGCACCCGGCCTGTGGCGGGTGCCCGGCCATCGTACGCATGAACTTGCGAGGCAACGAGTTCAGGTAACAGCCGACCATCTGCTCCTGGTTCCAACGACCCGCGCGACGGATCTGGTCTTCGCTAATCCTTTAGTTCAGCCGTCCTCGCCCCGAGCTGCGGCCGATATGCGTCTTCTTCTGCGACGTGACGCCGGCGTAGGCGAAGGCCTTGACAACCACTCGCGCTGTGAGTTGTACGAGAAAGCCGCCGTCCGGCCGGTGCCGTTACCCTTGATTAGCCGGATGTCGTACCACGAGACCGCCTGCTGAAATCGAAACGGCTCACTACCGAGATCCCAACGATACAAGAGGTAGAACGAGAGGCCACAAGATGCAGATTAGCGGGTTCCTATTCCGATACGCGCCGGCGGTCTCGAGGCGGCCGTGCTGGTTCTGCTTGCCGGCTCGTGTCGTAAAGATGAGCGGCATGCACCGGTCGAGCCCTCCCGGCAAACTCAAAGGTGAATAGGTCTGAGATCTCTGCAGCCCGACGATCGCCGCCACGGGTGAAGATAATGGCCAAGAGGAGATCCACGAGGTCCGAAAATGACACTCGGGCGATGTGCGCTGTGGGCCCACAGCTCGTGGCATACTCGTTCGAACTCGACTCGAGTAACCATCGAGCAGAGTATCGCGGCCTTTATCGGCATAGTTCTCCCTGTCTCGTTGGGCGTCCCGGCGCTGTAGGGACTTGGTACTCTCGTACGTTGTCCTCGCGCGGCGACGGGTGCGTATTCATTCCGAGGGCCTTCTGCGTCCGGTAAAGATCCGTGATTGCGGTGACATAAGTTCGGACCGACCGCCAGGCCAGGCGGGTCTCGTCCTGCGAGTATCAGTGGCGGCCTTGCGGCTCCTGACCTTCAGGGCCGACCGGCCACCTCCTCGACGAGGAAGAGGAGCTTCTCCTCTGTGACCGTAGCGCCGTCACAGTACTGTTTGTGGCGGCAGAATTGCTCGAATTCCTCTTGCTTCGGTGCGTACGCCGAGGTCGTATTCCTTGGCCGAGACTCGTGGATCGCAGAGAGGATCGTCTGCGCATTGGCGCGTAGCTCGCGTCGTTTATCGCGTTCTGCCGGATGCGTTGGTCCACTCGTACGCTCGACGGCTTTGCGCGACTCCTGCCCTGCCCCTGCCCGGCCGCTGCTCCTGCGAGCTTCGGCAGGCCCCGCTTTCTTCGCCTTCCGTCGATTTGGCGTCCGGGCCATGGGATATATCGTGACGGGAAGACCAAGGCAAGCCTGCAGTGACCACCAGTCCGGGTTGGAGCGGGGTGGCGCGCGGCGACGAGAGATGCCCTATCTAGCGATCACGATGCGCACCGCCTGGTCGGGTCGCCCGCTAAAATTCCAGTGGACAGGGCGCCGTAGCGAACGTGAATAGCGGCTTCTCCATCGAATCAGCGACGCAATCAGCGGGGGGCACCGATATCTGCGTATATCCACGGCGCGCGCCGTTCGGGTGGGGTGGATATCCGCAGATACGATTGGCCCGCCTGGTCGCTGATTCTCGGATTGCCCCACCTGACCAGATCAGCGGCGCTCAGCAAACCCTCGGATACCTTCGTGAGGCTCGTTGGCCTCGTTGGCTTCGTGGGCCTCGTGGGCTGCGTTGGCCGCGTTGGATATTGGTATCCGAGGGTTTGCTGAGCGCCGCTGATCTGGTCAGGTGGGGCAATCCGAGAATCAGCGACCAGGCGGGCCAATCGTATCTGCGGATATCCACCCCACCCGAACGGCGCGCGCCGCGCAGATATCGGTGCCCCCGCTGATTGCGTCGCTGATTCGATGGAGAAGCCGCTATTCACGTTCGCTACGGCGCCCTGTCCACTGGAATTTTAGCGGGCGACCCGACCAGGCGGTGCGCATCGTGATCGCTAGATAGGGCATCTCTCGTCGCCGCGCGCCACCCTGCTCCAACCCGACTGGTGGTCACCGCAGGCTGGCGGTCTTCCCGTCACGATATATCCCATGGCCCGGACGCCAAATCGACGGAAGGCGAAGACAAGGGGCCTGCCGAAGCTCGCAGGAGCAGCGGCCGGGGCAGGGGCAGGGCAGGAGTCGCGCAAAGCCGTCGAGCGTACGAGTGGACCAACGCATCCGGCAGAACGCGATAAACGACGCGGAGCTACGCGCCAATGCGCAGACGATCCTCTGCGATCCACGAGTCTCGGCCAGGAAGACGACCTCGGCGTACGCACCGAAGCAAGAGGAATTCGAGCAATTCTGCCGCCACAAACAGTACTGTGACGGCGCTACGGTCACAGAGGAGAAGCTCCTCTCCTCGTCGAGGAGGTCGGTCGGCCCTGAAGGTCAGGAGCCGCAAGGCCGCCACTGATACTCCGCAGGACGAGACCCGCCTGGCCTGGCGGTCGGTCCGAACTTATGTCACCGCAATCACGGATCTTTACCGGACGCAGAAGGCCCTCGAATGAATACGCACCCGTCGCCGCGCGAGGACAACGTACGAGAGTACCTCAAGTCCACGCCCAACGAGACAGGGAGAACTATGCCGATAAAGGCCGCGATACTCTGCTCGATGGTTACTCGCGAGTTCGAACGAGTATGCCACGAGCTGTGGGCCCACAGCGGCACATCGCCCGAGTGTCATTTTCGGACCTCGTGGATCTCCTCTTTGGCCATTATCTTCTCACCCGTGGCGGCGATCGTCGGGCTGCAGAGATCTCAGACCTATTCACCTTTGAGTTTGCCGGGAGGGCTCGACCGGTGCATGCCGCTCATCTTACGACACGAGCCGGCAAGCAGAACCAGCACGGCCGCCTCGAGACCGCCGGCGCGTATCGGAATAGGAACCCGCTAATCTGCATCTTGGGTGGCCTCGTTCTACCTCTTGTATCGTTGGGATCTCGGTAGTGAGCCGTTTCCGATTTCAGCAGGCGGTCCGTGGTACGACATCCGGCTAATCAAGGGTAACGGCACCGGCCGGACGGCGGCTTTCTCGTACAACTCACAGCGCGAGTGGGTTGTCAAGGCCTTCGCCTACGCCGGCGTCACGTCGCAGAAGAAGACGCATATCGGCCGCAGCTCGGGGCGAGGACGGCTGAACTAAAGGGATTAGCGAAGACCAGATCCGTCGCGCGGGTCGTTGGAACCAGGAGCAGATGGTCGGCTGTTACCTGAACTCGTTGCCTCGCAAGTTCATGCGTACGATGGCCGGGCACCCGCCACAGGCCGGGTGCTTGAGATACGCCGTGCCGGCGTGACGCCGCCGGAGGTCCTGCTCGATGATCTGGCCCGAGCTGGACCGTTGGCGAGGCCGGTTCGGTCCCGGTACCGAGCAGGAGAACGACCTGGCAGCGATGGGTTCGACGAACCTCATCTTCTATTTACGGAGGTTGTCTTGCAGGATTCCGTTGTCCTGATGAAGAAATACCCCGGCAGCCCCGTTTGGAACCACCCGGTCTTCCGGCATCCGGCCTACGCCCCGTTCGCGCACCAGCTATCGGACTTCATCCTGAAGAGGAGCGTCCAAGCCAGCTTGCAGTCCTAGTCCAGGCGATGCCGGTCCTCGCGGACTATCTTAAATCCATCGACGCGCGGAACGAAGCAAGGACGATCCAGCTTAAAACAGAGCTAAGCGAGCAGCTTCGAGCCACCGAAGAACGTCTTGCGGTAGCCCAGTCGTCCCTTTTTCGAATGGTTTCAACTTCCGTTACGGCCGCGACGACCACCACTGCCACCACGGCCCCGGCCGTGGTTGATGTCGTTGGGCAGGAGGACGAGGAGATGGAAGCCGATTCGTCTCGGCTCAGTCGAGCATTGTTGATAGCCGTGCCACGAGCCCGACGGCGACAGATACGATCACGGTTAAGACAGAGCCACCGCCACGGTATCAGATGTGCCGAGCAGTAAAAATGGTCGAGGCGCTCTGGAGCGAGTGGACGGTTGGCCTTCGAGGCGGGCCAGCCATTGCCGACCTCGACGGTAGATGGGGAAGCCGGTGGCGCGCCGGGCGACAAAATGAATATGCAGTGGTATTCGTTACGGCTCGAGGTTATAAGGGAGATTCGCAAGGTGGCGAAGGCCCACAGGTGTAGCGAGGAGGCCGCGATGCACATTGTCAACTTACAACAGCAGCAAACCGGCTGCTCGCTGGACTTATTTTGCAAACAGCTCCGAGCCAACAGAAAGGCAAAGTTGTACAACTAAAGAGGTAGAAATACACTATTTTTGTTTCCCCTCGTAATTTGACGAGCTCGTCGAGCCTTGAGAGCCCTTCAAGACGCGGCGTTCTGGCGGGGGCCGTCCGGCCGACCGTGGACAAGGGTGGATATTGGAAGCCGCTGAGGGCACGGACGCTAAACTGCGGTGTTGTGGCGCTCAGCCGCTGAATCAGCCACCAAAACCCCGCTGTGGATATCCTATTGATCATGACATACACCAATTAAGGTATGGTGGCTTTCGATCATTCGATCTTGGTCCATCGTCCAACTAGCCTAACGTAAAAATTTTCGGGCTCCAACATCACGGAAGTAATTCGATTGAAAGGATCATTTAAGCTTTCCTGTCCCTGAAAGGATCATTTAAGCTTTTCCTGTCCCTCCGACGACGCGATTGACAAGTCTGGCCAGTGATACGTTAGGTCATGCTCCGTCCTACATGGAAGAACTCATAAAACTGGGTGCAATGAGAAGTACTTTCTAATACGCACTAACACTAGCCTTACCTTCGGGCCTTCCTGGGATAGCTACCCGGCAGCAAAGACGAAAAGCATCCGTTCGGTGCCGGATCGACCTGACCAAGGTAGCCAGGTCGATATTGTGAGGATGATGGTATTCATGATGGAATGGAGTAGATAAACTGGCAGAAAACTGGTCAATAAGCCCTACAGATGACACTGGAATCATCGCCGCTCGGATTCTGCCTGGTCATTCTCCGCAGTGAGCCTCTTACCTGAGCTTATTTTTAGCGTTACTGGTATGATTCGGTATACCGGTAATACCATGGTATCAAGTTTTTGTCAAACCATACCAGGTCTTGGCGGTATTTACCATACCAATACCAACTCATACCGGACCATTCCGATCACTGAACTGCAGTTCGCAGTGCAGTGCAGTTTGTCGCTGACGAACGGACGGACAGTTTGGTTTGGCCATCTGGTCTGCACTGGCAGTTTGGTTTGACCATGTGGGCTTGCACTGCCAGTTAAGTGCGCCCTGGCCGAGTGCACTGGCAGTTTGGTCTAGTGGCGTCACACGCACAGAAGGGGCCGTTTGGGGTGTTCACACGCACTACTTGCACTATTAGGAGCCCTGGATCAAACCTCTGCACCTATAAAGCGTATTTCAAGTGCGAACGGGGGGAAGCCATCTAGCCCTTACAGCGCATGCTGGCAAGCTTGCTATGAGCGCAACCGCTTGCTCCGATGAAGTGGCCCAAACGAGAGATTGCGACACCACTGCCAGTGTCACTAGCAGTGAACTGCTAGCCAAGATCTTCATAATAACCAGCAAGCTCTGTTCATGACTATGACTTGTTCGCCTTACAGCGTGTTGCACGGAGTTTACGAGGGTCGAACTCCGGATCAAGAAATATAGAAGTCGAGTCCCATCCGCTATAAGTAGGGTGCCGGTACATGCAGCCTGCTAGAGTGCGGTTTAAATCGACGCCTCCACTCCAGGCAAGGTGTACGTGAGGTCTAGGGCGATGTAGTGGACTTCTGCACCTTGGCCGTCCTTGCCGATGGTTTCCACGCCGATCAATGACTGGCAGGCGTTCGTCGCCTCTGTCTGGACTAAAGTTCCTTTCGAGCCGCCTCCTTGCCGGACGTGAGAGAGCCCAGTCCGTAAGCGAAGTAGACAGCAATGTCTCAAGGAACCTGACGTGGCAAGATCCATTTGCGGCTGGATGCCAGTGCATTGTCAAAGTTGAGGGATAGGGAACGGTTCACTGCTACAGCTGCGCCATAGGGGCCAAACATGCCGCTTGTCATAAACATGGCATTTGCACCTCGAATCTTGGGGGAAATTGCGAGCTACCGCCAGAGTGGCGCGTACGTGGGATTAATGCATGGTGAGTACGGAGTTGGACTACTCTGTGACAAAGGGAGTTATCCACTTCAGCCCGGTAATCGCCGTTGTCACAACTTTTGACGTTGATAATGCGTAGTACTATACATGTTATACTGTAGTATTGAAGGGCGCATATTTGTCCTAAGCTGCCTAGCTGCACTTGTTGGTACAGCTGTCGACACCCATTCTGTTATACGGCGGCGCCCCAGGACCTTGTCAACTAGACGTAGCCTCCGCGTCAGAGGTCCCTGTTGCGGTACTGTACAGACACTCCGGAACAAATACTCACTCTGAGAAATTGAAGTCGTTATAGCCAGCACTGTACTCTACGTGTAGCCATTCATTAATCGGGGTCTGGGATGTAGATGTCGTTCAACCCCCGTAGAGCTGCCGAGGCAAACCGACACATGACCATGCCCGGGACCCTCTCGCTCGAAGCTTCAGGTGCCGGGAGTCCAATCTTGCCTACACTGCCTTCCTCCAGAACGGTACCATTAATTTTCTCCTCACGCAAGACAGCACTAGCTCGCCCGCAAGCGCTCTGGTATGGGCGGAACCGGGCCTGGGCGATGCCGACCACAGCTTGAACTCGGGAACGAATGCTTTGCTCTTAAATGCCCGTCAATAGAGGCCTGTTATGCGTTCACTAAGGCAGTTAACAGTTGCAGCTGTGTTCACGAATAAAGACACCGCGTTTCTCTCCGTGCTTTGAATACCAGCCACCAGTGCGGATCTGTATGGCTATGGTTAGCAAAGTTTCATGTAAGCGAGATTCTGTTACAGACCTCTCATTATTCATAGCACCTCAACAGCAACTCGACGGAGGCAGTATGTGGGCTCCGCTGACCAAGGGCCACTGGTAACCTGTAACTTACAGGGCCCCGGCACCGATTGGCAAAGGACCAGTCACCCTGCCTTCTGCATGACAGGCCTCCGAACGCTGAAAGTAGTCTATACTAGCAGACTGACTACATACCGTTGCAATGTGTCGGGTAGACGATAGTAAGGCCAGTTTTATAAAGTACCGGTATATTGCATAAGAGAGAGCATTCCGTAGCTATTGTACCCAACGGTAATATCGAGGTACAGTATATTCAGCTACGATGATTAGGTCAGAGAGGGATTCAATCGGCCATCTGGACGCCTTGTGCCAGATTTGCTCAAGAAAAGGATGCTAAACCTATTAGAAAAATGTGCGATTGGAATACTCGTATATGAGTCGAATAGCCTTACCTTTCTTAGATCTCGAGGACCATCCGCTGACGTAATTGATGACAAGAACCCCAAGATTTGTGACTGGCGCCAACACGCTTGTTTCTCCACACCAACATTGCCGCCTTCTAACACGTATTTCTGCATGAGTCTCATGGTGATTGTAGCAAGTCCCTTCAAGTCTCTGGTTTTATTCTCGGATGAAGCTGGTACACACGTGTCATATTGTGCTCCATAGTCGGTCAGCTGATTCGTCCACCGGACGGGATCCATCGGTACTCACCTAGCTTAACGAGGCCAGTCCTGTGAAGGAGAACGTTATCACAACTGAGCAATCCGTGTGCGCGTTCGAGGCTCTCAAGGCACATTAGGCCGTCTAAGATCTATGTAAATCAGTTTCTTGTTGCAACATAGCGGCTAGAATTATCTCGAACCTGTCCTAATATTATCCCAATCTCCTTGCTGCTTGGGAAAGCGGTCGACCTCACAATATGCTCTAGCGGTGTATGCATCTCTTCGTAGACAACATATAGGGCGCTTTCTGTTGAGAATACCTCTAATGCAGCGATATTATTGGAATGTCGCAGCTTACGCAGCCATTCCAACGTCTCGTTCTCCTTGTCTTTCTTGACCGACTTCACACCAACCATATCCAAAGAGCCTTTCTTTCTTGACACAATTACTTCGCCGCCCAAGTCAAGCAAGGTGATTATTTTCTTGTATTTTGTCCAAGGAGACACTCTTTGCACCGCAAGAGTTCCTTCAGACTGCGCTGCATTGTTTTTAGTCGAGATGCCAACATGGGGTTGAGCCTTCTCTTCCCTCTTCTTTTGCAGTTTGTTGGGAGCCAAAATTGGCAAGTTGGAAAAGGGTGCTGTTGGTAGAAGCGAGTTCGATTGGTACTCCTTGCTCGCTTTGAGCTCCTGAGGGCTAACAAAAATCTGTGTGCCACGATCGCCACCTACGCTGCCCATAATGGCGATCTAAACGCAAGATTGGCTCAGCAGCATCACGCGCCTCACAGTACCCGAAAATGATATAGTTCAATACGACAGAGCCAAGGGTTATAAACCTCAGGGATAACTGGGCGATATATCAGGTTCGATTATTACTTTCAGACCATTTGCTGTGCTACCGAAGCTGCTTGCGCTGTGCCCATCATGCCACCCTCTTCTGGCTGCATGGAGTAATCCGATGGAAGACGGCAAGCGTTGGCAGTCCATATCCACTTGGCGACTTTTTGGAATGAACATGAAGGTTAGTCACTGGACCAGTATCCAGGCCCGCGCCAACACCCCAGAAAAGCCTACTGGGAGGGGAGATTGCAGTAACTGCCACATCCACGTTACTGTACTGTAATTGGTGACGTCGCTAGAGTACAGTATAAATCTCTTTGGGAGAGCCAGACGGCGTTACAGAACAGGTTGACAAGCTGTCTCGCAAGGTGAAGCCCCCAGTCCATTATCCAACTGTATTCTTAAGTTCCGGAACAGTCTTCGTCCACATAAGCCTAGCAGCTGCTTTCCGTTGGACATTTGAGATCTCCAGAGATGCTACAGGTACAACTAGACTTATAGCGACACGACTTCCTCGGACCAGTTCCGTGTTGCACCATCACGTATATCACTTGATATGAAATAACACTCCCCAGCAACAGTGATTATTCAACGAGATCGCTTAAGTTAAGAAGACTCCCCGGTTATCGAATAGTACTGGAATAGGAAGCTTCGCTCTGATATCCGCGCTCCACAGTAAAACATGACGTATAGCGACGGTCAAAAACTGGTTTGCTGCTCGCCGGAGGAACTTTACACGGCTCCAGAAGGCAGTCGCAAGGTGACTCTGCGCCAGCACCTTGTATAGGCTGATCCTGTTATTGTATATCCGTTATTCGAATGGAATGCCTTCAACCCTGGCATCTCTGGCCTTCCGCTACTTCAAGATCTTGCGACGAGAACCGACGCCCTCGGATGCTCTTTGCAGCAGAGGCCAGAGAGATATTCTACGGAGAGAATGAGTTTCTGGTCTGGTGGGATGGCCTTCACGAGTTTCTGCAGCCTCTTTGGAGCGAAAGGGTCTATGAGAGTAGTGTTGGGAATTTGATACGCAAAGTTGTTGTGCGCTACGATATGTGAGATATGGGTCACAAAGCACGCCACTTCGCGACAGAGCTAAAGCGTCTGTTTGAATTGACAGGAGCTCAGCGAGTCGCGATTGAGCTACAGGGCAGCGGAACAGCCGAAGGAAGTGACATTGGAACACAAGCCGTCATACAGGGCATTGCAGTCACCGTCAAGGCCCTGATAGACTACTTCGGTTATGTCTTCACGATACACAAGGCTGTCGGAGGGTAGGTTTTGCTGAATGCCGCAGAATTCTCAAACCTGCGCTCGTACTGGGACTCACCTTCCGTAGCAGCGAGGGGAGAGAGCAAGCACGAGTCAAGCGGCTTTCAAAGAGATCATGCAAATGCAGGTGGAGCGTTGGATACGGGCACAGACAGTGACAAGCTCAAGCTTGCCTATTCTTGGCCATGAGGGTGGACAGACATTTCTTGGTAACCGCCGATCTTGGCAGCTGCCCAGGCTTTGGAGAGGGAGCTCGTGTGGTGGGGGCAGACTGCTTGGCAGTGAGAAGCAATACCCGGTTCCGTAGACGAAGCCAGGCCAAAAGGTGCACGTAGCATCAGATGCATGACTCCGCTTAATCCGGGACGGCGCGGAATTGACTACTTAAGCATTGCGACTTTGTTACACGATACCATTCTCCAGAATATGGCGCGCCTGACTCGTCCACCATGTGTAACCAAAATCAGATTTTGCTATAACTCGTAGGCATGAGCATCGCGATTCCCACAAGGCAATTCCAAGGAGATGATGGAGCGTGTACCGAGACGACCAGCGCTCCGGCCGCCGGAGGCGCCACAGACCTACCGGACAATCAATCTTGTACGAACACCCGTTCATAATATAATCACTGTGAGATGCTGACGAGAAGGGTGGAGGCCTTGATGATACGTCTGAGAAGGACATGGAGGCATTCTTTGACTGCATACTGCGCGACGAACCGCACGAGGTGGCGACCGTGAAGCAGGTTCAGCGAGCACTGGCGCCAATCAAGGCGGCGCTGAAGTCTAGGGCAGCACAGAATAGCAACTGTCGAGGGGCCAGGAGCCGCCGGGTCTCGTTCAAATTGCCGGCGTCTTCTTTTCAATCACATCGTTGAGGCACATGGATTCTACTGACGAAGCATTTCTGTCGAGGTTATATCTGGACAAGTCTGCACATTCCCGCACGCGTTCTTCCATAGCTAACACCCGCATTCATCTGCCTTGTACACGATGTGCTGGCGCGCGCATGCGGATGCAAGTCCAGAGTGGGCACAGCAACGACGTCATGGGGAGCACTTAGCCACTTGCGTGCGCATTACAGGACTCACCGTAGCCGCAGCACCTTCTGGGCCTGTCAATCCATCCAGTTGTGGCTATTGCCACCTTGATAGGCAAATCAGGTGTGCGTTATAGATTTAACCAAATACTGGTGTATAGTGAGTGGGTTGAGGTCCATAGAAGCAGGCATATGTGGCCGTCGGCTTTGTCCTTGTGCCTTTGCGGCCCTTTGGTCACCTCACAGGCGTATCGACAGAGCCGTGCGCTGCTTCAATCCATGCCATCCGACCGTCGCGCGAATGGGCAAAACCTCGAGGCGGAGCGCGGAAGACGCCCTCCTCCACCGCAATCACCGCGCAGCGCGCCAGCCGATCCATACGAGTTTCCGGACACAAGCTCTAACGACGCGGAGTCAGCCCCTAGGAGCACAGCTGATAATACTGCTGGACATAGGCGCAGAGCCTCTGACAACGCTGGTACCGTGGAGCCGCACGGCATAGCAGATGTGCCGAACCACTCCACCGAGAACACAACTGTTCCGGCTGTCCATTCTATCGAGCACGTTGACCCGGATCCAAGCCGTGACCAAGCAGCTGCAGACGCGAACCAGCTTGAGGACGACATAGCCTGGCTATCAGATGCGTCTTTCGAGTTTGATACAAGTCTCCTCGAAAATCTGTTCGCAGAAAACAATTCGGAAGGGAGGCGGTCTGTCACCCCCGACGAGCCCAGCACTCAGGTGAAGCCCGGTGACGTACGTGAAAAGAAGGCTAGACAACCCGGAACGGCCTGGCGGCGCCTTGCTCGGTACTCCTTAATGTTGCTCGATAATATCCTGTCTTCACACACTAGGAAAACAACGTTGTCGGGGTGCGCTCCTGTTAGAGCCCGCCAAAGATACATTATGTGCACTGACGCTACATGTATTTCTGTACCATGTACGCCTTCTAACATGCCTGTGTGGCTATGGCGCTTCTTAATGCCACGTGGCGATCCAGTCAGTAGACTTTGCTTCCTCTTGGGGCACGTCTGCTGGGCCGCACAAGGCAAGCATCCTCCACCTTCTTTTTCTGGCGCTGTGGTCAGTTTCTTGACGCGGAAGAAGTCTGCAACACTGTTTGCTGTGGGTGTCTCAGCGGGTGCTCCTCCAGGCTACTCTTCCGCGCTGCTCGATTTATCCGATACAACCTCGCGCAAGCCCGAGTTACCCTCGGCAGAGACAGTTGGTCGTGGGGCATCGGATCTTGGTGATCAGTTATCCTGCACCATGTGCCTCTGCCCTTTGTTGCCGCTGGAATGCCCCGCAATATATAAGTCCACGATAGTGTTGTAGGTGTTCCGTGGATGGGTAGCAGGGCAGATGGGACGGCGAAGGAAAGGTCTGTGATACCCCAGGCTTTGTCCAGATCTCAGAGATGGCGTGTGATGCTTCGAAGTTGGGACCACCTTAGCCATGATGGCTGTTGTTTCGGTTGAGTGCACTCGATGTTTGAAGGATGGTAAAGATATGCCTGAAGAGGAATACCACGCTTACCCTCCTTTTTGCCCCCCCCCCCCCCCCCCACCCTTCCCCCCTCTCCCTTATATTTCAGCCAATTATCGAGATGTAAATAGAAAAGCTACATCACACTACTTGGCTTTTTGTCTTTGCATGACGCGACCGGGTCGGGTAGTGCGCTGGAAGACCCAGATACGCTGATCTCAATCACCGAAGCTGTCTCCGTCTCCTCCTCCACCTCCTCCTCCTCCGAGTCGCAATTCACCACAGCCGCTTTCTTTGGACTCCCGAGCTCGGGGACAATCTCACCGGCCGCCAAAGCTTCGGCGAGGCACATGAAGCGTCTAATTGAGTTAGGGATCGCTCTTCTCTTTCTTCATCTCTTCAGCCTGTCCACTTCCTCCTCCAGCCTAGCAATTTTATCAACATGTTCTGCTAGTGTCTGTTCTTGAGTTTCCCAGCCTTTATCTATTTTGGCATATTGCCTCCGAGTCGTAGGTGTTCTGGCCTTGCCAAGATCACAATATGGTGGCTGGATTTCAGGGTGTCGTCAAAGTCCAAAACCGGCCTATATTCCGGGGATGCCGCAACTTTGTCTTCTTGGATCTCAGGATTACCCGACGCCTTGAATCGCGAAATTGGCCAATTTCCAGTGGTTCTCCAACCGGACAAGATGTTTCTTGTTGTCAGTCTCGTTTGACGTGCCGTGGCATACGCACGTATAAAGTTGACCTTGTCAACAGGCGTGGAATTCGTCAAAGACGCCAGTCCGTCAAGCTCCTTCCTGTAGGCTGCCTTTATAGCATTTAAAACTCCATTGTCTAATGGCTGGAGGCCATGAGAACAGTAAGATGAAAGATAACAACTCAGAAAGCACGTAGCCATCCACTTATTCTATCGTCAATCAGCAGGGCCTCAATGCCATAAATATAAAGGACGAACAGTTGCATGACTCCCGTATCCATCCAGAATGACAAGCATGGCCTCAGAGTCGTCTTGAGGTCGCGTCTGAGGCAAATAAACTTCATCAAGCCATTCAACGGCAATGTGGTTGTCCGTCCATCCACTTGGTGAATTTATGTAGTGCCAGTCCGCAAATCTCCGAAACTCCTCCTTAAACCACTGTTTCTGGAGGCTTCTATCCTTAAATATGATGCCTGGAGTCAAGGTGCGCCCGTTGGCGGTGATGGCCTCTAGAAAAGTGGTCCAACCGCGGGACTGGGGTCCATTGAGAAGAGTCTTCCGTTTGGGTTCCGAACTTCTAACCACCAGACTGTCTAGACTTAGCAAAGAAATCGGGTTGACTTGTATCGCTTATGGAGAGTCCATTGCAAACCAAAGCCCGACATAATCCCCCATTCATCAATGTTCACGGTGTTCTCTGGCTTGATCCACCCGTACTCTTTCTCCCTGATGTCAAAGTACCAGTGCACTGCTTTGGGAGTAAATGAGTCGAATCGGTTGGCTTCATAATGCCTACCGACCTTGCTTCTAAGTTTTGGATGACGTTGAATGAGCTTTTCTACCCGATGACGTCCCAATTTTGAGTCGCAGCCTTGCTTTTTCAGAACGGCAACTACGCAGGCGCGAATTTGACTCTGGGACGGAAAATAACCCAGAGATTCTTGGCGAAGAGTCCAGGCATCCAAGTTGGCCCCCTGGTCTCTGGATAAGTACTTTCCAGGCTGATTCTGGTCAGTTAATGCCGACTGACTTCGCATTCTGTTGGAAATAGTCCTCTGGGGTATCCCCTCATTTCTGACAAGCCCGGCGCTGCGACAGACCTTTATCAGTGACATCGAGGATTGCCTCAGCCATCATGACCTCTGTATAGATCGAACGAGGCCTTTTTGGATGCATTAATGACGGGTGGTGGAGGATGAGCAAGAGTGGAAAGCAAAGGAGATTATGGGTCGAAATTGCCATTTTGCGATGCCAGGGTCTCACGGACCACGACACCTAGGGTCATCAGCTGACTTCAAAAAATGTAGGTACAGTCATTTCTATACCTGCTACAGGTGACGGCTCATGAAAAGCTTTAAGATTGAGTAGATTCTGTATAAGTGAAGTTGGTCCAATTGGTATGGAGCGGCAACATTTTTGCGGAGCATAAGGGGGGGTGAGCAGAGGGGGTGAGCAGAGGGGGTGTAAGCATGGTACCCTCAAAAGTGTCTGTCGACTAGAGAGAGTTTAGTCCCTCGACAGCAACCCAATTGCACTCTATATGCACCATCAATTCCCGTTCCCGTTCCCATGCTGCCGACCCTTGCTGCCCGATGACACCACATGGTATGGTGCGCAGGGCGTGCCTGTTTCGAATTGAGTTTCACGACGCTTCGCAGAGCGCTGGTGAGCACTGGCCCGCATATGTCTCTATGAGACATTGCTACCACACAGTGGTGCTCGTGGAAGTGGCAGTTTGAATCTCGGGTCTAGGCTAGTATAGGCCTTGAATTCGTTGTCCCCTATTGTCTCATGTCTTTTTAAGTGATATACGTCGATCATTAGGTTCTCGTCCGGGAGCTCCTGGTTTACGATGGCGGCGCAAAGATCACGTGCTTGGGAGAGCCAGTGCCTCAGGGGATCTGATCCATTTGCAAGCCGAGATTGGATCTCTGCAATAGTTCGCTGCTTGTTACGCATGTTGCGGATTGATGGCGTACCAGGTACTTGGGGGGACTAAAATCCGTCCCGGTGCATGACTTGACATGCGCGGGAATCGGGACGGATTTTAGTCCCCCCAAGTAACCACTTCCAAGTGTGCCCTCCCCGTTCTCAGAGTCCACGCCCACAGCCCTAGGACCGCCATGATGCAGATGAAGCTCATCACCAGACTGCCTCCAAACGTCAGCGCATGGTATGTCCAGGCGTTGTTCTTATCCAGATTGGCGACCTGGCAGACGATAGTCCAGGGCAGGACGTATAAAAACGTGCTGGCCAAGCTCTGCCAAAGATACCATTTCGGCCGCGTCGCGAGCAAGATCGCGCTCATCTGCGTCGACACGGCGTACACAATATAGCAATAGTCCAACGTCCTCCACATTCGTGCGGCCACTTCGGCCACTTCGTCACTGCCGCTCAAGTACCGTGCGAACGAGCGTGCTCCCACAAAATACATAGCGATGCAGAGTGGCACTTCGAATGCGAGCGCCACGGCGGCGGAGATGAACGCCGGACGGACGATTCGACACAAGGACGCCAGGCTCGTCCGGGGCCGGAGCGTGGCGATGCCAGTGTCCCTCCGCCAGCGGCCCCAGTTGTGTCCCACAAAGGTGAGTGTCGTGGCTTCCAAGGCCGACACGGGGACCATGACGAGACCCCAACGGATGGTGTTGAAGACGCCCCAAGCCGTGGCGTACACTGTACCCAAGGATACTATTGTGGTGACTAACCACAAATAAAAGGCGTTTCGAATGGCCGACTCGACAAAGGTCGGGATGGCAGGGCGAAGCAGGATCTTGAGGGCGCAGAGACTGGGGCCGTGCGGATGGCCGATCGTTCCTCTCCTTGGCCCGAGGTAGTTTCTGAACAAGAAGTAGGCGAGGCCGCCGAACGCAGCCGCAAGATTGCAGGCCAGCTGGATGCTCGCCTGCAAATTCACGGTCGGCTCGAGGCTCCCAACTCTGAAAGTCGAGATCAGCAGCAAGTCGAGGATAATATTTACAGCGAACTTGATGCAGCTCAATATGAGGGCAACGTCGGGCTCGTCGAGGGCTCTCGTCGCTGCGGCAATGGCAGCCTCGATGGCACCGCTGAGTACCGAGAAGCTGCCGATGCGCACGTACGTGATGCTCTGCTGGCGCACCTCGAGGGGCACGAAGCCTTTGGCGAAAGTCTCTGCGGCGCCGAGCAGTATGAGCGAAAGGGCGAGCCCTAGAAGGGCCTGCGCGAGGATGAGGGTATGTGCCAAGGCTAATCGTTGGCTGTGTTTGCGAGAGCACTTGTCGCCGATGGTGGTCCATGAGGCGCGGGAGACCTCGTTGATGACCTCGGCAATGGTGGCAATGTACGTGTAGACGCTGGGAATGGAGCTGGTTAGTGGCGGAAGGAGGGATCCGTCTTTTCTGAAGGGAGGACGAGGCTGCTGACTCTGTGGTGACGACCATGCTTGAGTCGATTCGGGCCACCCAGAGCTTGGCCAGGGTGCTGTATATGGCCGGAAGCAGGAATGCGGCCACGTTAAACGAGAGGGCCACTGAATATCTGTCCCGTCGCCGGCGGGACACTCGGGTGCCCACGAGGGCATCATGGCCCTGTGCTTGTATCTCGGTCGACGGCGCCGGAGACGCGTTCCACGTCACCGTGGCGCCGTCTCCCATGTCTTGTCGAGTGAGAGCTAAAGAAGAGGAGGTCGGCCCTATGTTTGTTGGCGAGGTTGACGAGGGGCGGCCTCATTGACGAGACGATGATGCAGCGTCACCTCGAGAGAAGCTACATGTAGGTATCAAACGACCGTTGGGACCTACCTACTTGAGGTTAAACCTTTGGCATCCCTCACTGCATCGAGTAATCAAACATACACTCCTGATTTTCAAACATACACTCCCGACCTAAGCCCCATTTGGAAGAATACCCCGCCACCAAAATTTGGCGCGCGCTTTCCCAACGCCCTGGCTTGCCGTGACCATCGCCGCCGCCCACCCGCCCAGCCACCTGCCTTTTGGCCGCCATCTGCATTTTCGCAATCATCAACAATTGAAGCTATCACCACTTGACTCAACACAACAGCAACGCCGCCGCCGCCTACCGCAATAGTCACGTCTAGTCAATCGTCCCGATGAATTCGACCGAAAGCAATACCAACAGTAGCATCGAGGCTATCACGGAGATGTCTTTCGATACGTATGATGAGGCGCTTGAAACACTCAAAGCTACGCAAGAGCTCCTTGGCTACGTCGTAGTCGTTGCAAATAGCAAGAATACCGGCAAGCCTAGGCGCAAGGAAGCCAATATCCGCTGTGAATACAGTGGTCAGTATAGGCCCTGGGACGAGGCAGAGGGTATATACAAGACGTCATCCAGAAGTCGGGATGTGACTTTCGCTGTTACATCCGCTTCTACCGACGTTGCAATGCATTCAAAGTCACCATCAAGCACGGCTCTCATAACCACGAACCTCTATTTGAGCCAATTGCTAACCCCATCGTCCGTCAACGAAGCCAACGCAAATTCGGCATCGAGCGTCTTCATAGCCTCGTCGAGGGCTTAGCAAGAACGTCAATAACAAGAGCAGGGATATCGTGGATGCTATCCGACAGGAATATCCTGAGCTCCTTATTACCGATTCTGATATACACTTCATCCAGCTGCAACTTCGTGCCTTCCGTTACGGCGCCTCTACATCTACACAAGCCTTCCTCGATGTACTCAAAGATGCTAAAGCAAAGGGGGAAATCAGCTACTATGCAGTTGACCGTGGCCCTAATGGGAAGGTTTGGAGGTTTTTCTGGACATACGATGACTGTATTGCTGACTGGAAGCGTAACCCCGAGCTCCTTATCATGGATAATACGTATAAGGTCAACCGCTTTAACATGCCGCTTCTACAGATCATTGGCACAACAGGGCTACACAAGAGCTTCAGTGTAGGCTTTGGCCTCACTGCCAAGGAAGACGAAGGCGCGTTCCAATGGATCCTCTCACAGTTGCGTGAGGCTGGTCGGCAGGCTGATATTCCGGACCCGGGCGTTGTGATTACCGACTTTGATACCGCCCTGAAGAACGCCCTTGACTCTATCTTCCCATCAACGCAACAACAAGTGTGCGTTTGGCATATGATGAAGAACGTGATCCTTCACATCAAGAAGAAGTGGGAAGGATCCCTCGATGGCACCGAGATTGGCGGAGATAGGCCAGAACAAGAGACTCGCTTCGCTGCAGCAGCCGCTCTCGACGACCCTATACAGGCAGATAATGCCATTGACGAGGACCGACCTATCGACCGTGCCACTGATTACCAGATTCAACATGCCTCACAACTGGCAGATCAGTGCGTTGAGCAACAAGATGATCGTGAAGATGACGATGGAAACCCAATACTACCCCCGGCTCCAAGGCGGACTTTTGAGCACACAGCTGACGGTATCCGTGATGCCTGGGTTTCAGTCTTTAGGGCTCGCACGGCTGAGGAGTGCAGAGATCAGTGGGATCTACTCTGTATAGAGTTTTCGGATCAGCCAGGTAACCCTAGCCCTAACTACCCTCCTACTCTAACTTATAGCTCTCGTTAATTACCTCCGTACAACCTACTGGCCATGGCGTGCCCAGTTTTCCACCTACGCTATTAAGTCCCTGCACATAGAAATGGGCACCCCCCTGTTTTGGGCACCCCAAAAAAATCACGACCATTTTCAACACCATTAATTCAATCCCTTCTCACTGCCCACCACCGTGCACTACGATACAATCGTCACCTATTTCTGAAACCTCAGCTTCGGTTTCATCAGATTCTTCATTCTCAGCTGCGTTCACCTCCTCCTGCGCCCGTCGTATTGCCTCAATATTGGCGAACCTCGAATTCGGGCTCGTGACCACCTCTTCCTTTTTTCGGCTTGACGGCCGCCAATTGTGTTTCCAGTGCCTGAATCTGCAATTGAGCTTTTGCTAAAAGGCCATCCTTCTCGTCAAACCCTTTGTGATCTTCCTGAACAGCAATCTCTTCGTGGGCACGTCGTCGTCTAGCTGGTTGAATTGAACTACCTGAACCTTCAGATCTTGCGAGCGCCTCGGGTCGACCACGCAATCTGGGATGTGTCTGATTGCCAGTCACTGGTGGGTAAGTGGCTATTGAATGCATTGGCCACATTTTTCGCGTTCTTTTGCGTCTGTTGCTGTTCTCCAGCAGAAGAGGGCTCAAAAGTGGCTTCGCCATCGACACCGGCCACAAACCCGTCGCTTTCCAGCCACCCTTGATGTTTGACACAGTGAGCGCTTGCTCGCGTGCTTTCTGGTAGCAGGAAAGAAAGTTTTGCTTGCCGACTGGGCTTGAATCGGTCAGGAGGCTGAGAAATCCGACCTGTTTGCGGTAGTAGTGCTTAAGAGCGGAGAGACAGACAAATCGAGCGGTTGCAGCACATGAGAGGTATGGGAGGTAAGAAAAGAAGGTGAATCTGATGCTGGTAGCATAGATACATGAAGTCAACCGTCTCGTGACTTCCGTGGCCGTCCAATACTAGCAGTCTTCGCTCCGAAGGGTCGGGTGGCTGGGTTCTTGGAATGAACACCTTTCGAGCCACTCCACCGCAGTTTGGTCCGAAGTCCAGCCGTTCTTTGTCGCAGTGAATTGCCAGTCACTAAAAGTACTGAGATCTTCTGGGAACCACTGTTGCTGGACCGATTTGCCCTTGAAAATGACGAGTGGAGGGAGGAAGGTGCCGGCAGCGGACACGCACTCGATGAACGACGTCCAGACCCGAGAACCAGGCGTCTTCTTTTGTACAGATCGTTTTTCAGCACTGCCAACGACCAGGCCATTCTCCCCAAGTCCTTCCATGATGCCTGCTTCATCCATGTTGTACCTGTTCTCCGGCTTAATAGCCAGAATCTCGGGAAGGAAGAAATTGTTGAACCAAGGCCGAATTACCTCGGTAGAAGCGCCGTTGACACGCGCAGAGTCTCTGTGATGGCACTTCTGGGTCCGAACTGCAGGATTTCGTCTTAAAAATGCTTGCATCCAGTGTTTTCCGAGCGGTGTGTGGTCTCCTTTGACGGCGAGCATGCGCTGCGCGAACTGCCTGATCTGCGAGTGAGTGGGAGGAAGGCCCAAGGCGTCCTGAATGAGAATCCATTCGGTAAGTTGCTTTTCCTGTGTCTGAGAAAGCCTCTGAAGAGCAGAAAATGCATCCTTTCTGCATTCGTGACCATGCATGCGATTGTAAAGAGTTGCCCTCGGACGCCCCAATCGCGAGCAGCCTTCTTGGCGGATCCGCCATTGGCGATTGCCTCAAGGGCGCTGTGAATGTCAGACTCTGTATATTTCATCAGTAGTGGCTTGAAGACACATGCGTCAATTTTTTAGCAGATTGGATGCGTTTCCGCGGTGAAATTTGCTGTTGAAGTTGACGCAGCCGTTTAGGTTGGGCACCCATCTTGGGTGCCCAAAACAGGGGGGTGCCCATTTCTATGTGCAGGGACTTATCCAACAGTACCGAAATTATTCAGCCCGAAGGGCGTTCTACTCAGTCAGAAAGATTCGAGCATAAAACCTCCTCTGATTGGCTAATTGGCCTGGCCTGTGCTCAACTCGTGCGCGGATTGGTCGACCGATAACGTCACCAAATGAAGGCCCGCAAAAATTACCCCTGAGCGTTGACTAGGTAACTAGCCAGCTCTCCAAGAGCTTTCTTTCAGTTCTTCCATTCTTCGGCACTCTTCACACTAACTAACCTACATGGCGGCTGCTTCCCTGTTCTGCCCAATACATAGGTTCACATATTACCTCGGCAGCCGGCCCACCTCCCAATATTCTTCGGTAATTCTGCCTCATCTAGCAGTCTGGTGGGTAAGAGGTGGATACATACATATACGGCCAGATGGAGGACGACATACCCCAGGCAGTTCGGAATTGCCATACCTGCAAGCAAGACCTGCCTGAAGTCGAATTTCGAAGCGTCAAGGACCCTACGAAGTTTACAAGAGACTGTGCTAGCTGTAGGGCACGCCGAAAGGAACGGGTTACCGAATCTCGAGCCGCCGTTGCCGCAATGCGGAATTTCGCTTTGAGGCTATCGCCACGCAGAGCCACGAAACGGACCGATTCTCTAGCTAACCTGACGCCTTCAAGGCGGACTGCGCCAACGCCTGCCTGTGTGCAAGCCTTACGACCCCCTGCCACATCAACTTTATGCCGTGCCCTGGCACCCGCACTCCAGGGACTGCCTAGACCTCTGCCGAGGCCATCTACCTCAAGCGCGGTAGAGGACCTTCCCCACCCTCCTACCTTTGGCCTGCCAACAGTAGTTCTGGGCACGCCGATTCCACAAACGCCAATTCCTCAAGGCACTCTTCAATCGGCTTCTGTTGTGCAAGGCACGCCTATACCACAGGAATCTCTTCCCCCGCTTCGTACCCCTCCTTCATTACTGCCACAGAGTCATCGCCGCGGCCGCTATACACGTCGAGTCAACATTAACCCCCGGCCACGGCCACAGCCTGAAGAGCGACAGTTCGATCAGATAGTTGATCCGCCTTTACAGGGACCTTGACTTACCTGCCCTTAGTGAGGGGATCAAGCCCTTGTGCGCGAGTTCTATACTGCTCTGAATGACGACAAGATGCATAGTTGCATTCGCTGCCAGGAGCGTTGGTTCGATATGAAGCGAAATAGCTTGAAAATCTGCAGTCGCTGCATTGGTCGAGACAGGAAGAAAGCCCCTAACGAACCGTACTTCTTTAGCGCTGCGAATCACCTTGACTTTGGGGAAGTCCCCGCCGATCTACCTGATCTAACGATGGTCGAGGAGATGCTCATTGCTAGAGTTCACGTACACGTGAAAGTCCTGCAGGTGCGTGGCGCTCAGTATAAATATCGCGGTCACGTTGTCCACTTCCTTCGCAATGTTGGCAGGCTTTTTGAAGAGCTCCCAGTCCTACCTGAAGAGCTAGATATCATCATCCTGCGGCCTCCTAATATAGAGGGCGACCCTCGCTTCCGGCAACAGTTTGCTCGCGATTTCCGGGTACGTCGCTCATGCCTGTCGGCCTGGCTGCATTACCTACAGCGTCACCACCCGGGCTATCGCGATATTGTTGTGAGCCAGAATCGCCTGCAACGGATTCCTCTTGATGGCAGCATAGTTGCTTCCATTGCCAGCCAAGTGGCTGACATACCTGACGGCGAAGTCCCCCCAGGGCCCCGTTGAGGAGGTTGTGGAAGAGGACCCAAGCGATGCCGATGCATCAGCGATCCCGAATTTGCAGGTCACTGATACCGAATTGAATGCTCTGCAGTCCCGATTTCTTGATGGGACCCCTAACCCTGAGCGCATGACTGATCTGGAGTATATGCCGCGTAGCGCGCAGGCTCACCACCAGATGCCACTGCCTTCCATTCGCAGGACCCCTATCGACGAATTCAACCGTTCTCAGCCGCTTTTATCGCTTGCGTTCCCTACCCTCTACCCCGACGGCAAGGCCGACTTCGTGGAGCCTCGCCTACGGAGCATCACGTACCAGGACTACCTTGCCCACGCGATGAGATGGCATGACGGACGTTTTGCCCGCCATAAGACGTGGCCTTTCGTCGCCCTCAACACGATGTTACGTGCGCAGGTCCGAAAGAGAAGTGACTACTTCGTCAAGCAACGCGACAGCCGCCGTCAACCCCTTACACGCGCCGACCTAGAGGAAGCGATGGCTGGGCCTGACGAGCCGGAGGCTCAGGCGCTGATCCAGTCAATCACGCGCCAAGCCGCGGTAATCAGGGGCACCCGGCCATATTGGTATAAGCAAAGGAAGGAATTGGAAGCATACGCCTATAATTTAGGCAAGCCTGGCCTTTCGCTACTGCAAGTGCAGCCGATTACCACTGGGAATCCCTATACCGTCATATGCCTCGATTTGACGAGTGGCAAGCAGCTCCTGAGGCGGCGCGGATGGCTCTATCCCGGCAACTGCTACGAGACAACGCCCATATTGCTGCTTACCACTTCTATAAACGTTATACGCTGTTTAGGACTATTGTCCTGAAGCAGAAGTTCAACCTAACGGACTCTTGGGGCCGCTACGAGTGGCAGGGCAGGGGTTCCAGTCACCACCACGGCCTATATTGGCTAAGTGGCCACCCAGACTTAGATCCTGATAACGACCGGTCCCGGGAGCAATTCGCCCGCATCTGGGGATATCACGTATCTGCCATTAACCCAGAGCCACAGCGAATACAGGCGCCTGGGGAAGGGAATCCCCCTGATCGGTACTCTATTGGAACATCCCCTTACCGTTCAGTTTCTATCGATGGTAATCAACCGCGTGCAACGCCACCGCTGCAACAACTACTGCATGCAGGTCAATAAGCATACCAAGCAGGTGGAGTGCCGCTTTGGGATTTCCTCACGGCCAGCGCCTACTAGCCTCCCTTGACAAGGTTCCTCACTCTAAACACTGGAGCTTTAGGGGCGAGCGGAACGATGGCCAGATTAACCATTACAACCGCTTGCTTACCGTTGCGTGGCTAGCCAATACAGACGTTTCACCCTGCACGAGTCTACAGCAGGTAATCGATTACGCGGCCAAATACTGCTCAAAGTCGGAAAAGAAGAGCGAGTCTTTTGCCCAGATCGGGAAGGCCCTGATGCCCCGGGTCAAGGACCACAACCCCCTTATTTCTTTCACGTCAAAGCTCCTCAATCAGCTAGTTGCTGAGCGGGATTACTCGAAGCAGGAGGTCAGCCACTTGCTCCTCGGCCTGCCGTTACAGGAAGGCTCACGAACCTGCCTGTACGTTGACTGCCGTAATCCTGACAGGCATTCCCGCTTCCTCCGTATTGACGGCGATGAGGTTGAAGAGGCCCCAACGTTTACGAAAAGTACACTCAACGCCCGGAAGCCCTAGCGGACCTATGCTATGTCTCCTTCCTCAAGTGCTGGAATTTCCGTCCTAGGGACCCTTCCAAGTGGAAGCAATGGCAGCCAGGCAACGTTAACGGCAGGCCTCGTGTGTTGGTTTACTTTCCTCGCTATCAGGCTGATCCAGAGGGTCAACAGTGGCTTGATTACTGCCGTGTAAAGCTAACATTAAACCACCCACATCGGCGGGTTGATGATCTCCTCACATTTGACGGCCAGCTTTTTGGTTCTCACGCTGAGGCCTTCTCCTATTGTTGGCAGCACCACAGTCATGGTGATGACCATTACGGTCGGCCAAAAGAGGCTCGATTACAGCCCCAAGATGATCAATATGAGGCTCTGCCTGTGGAGGAAGAATTTGACGACGAAGACTGGATTCGCCTCGCCGCCCTTTTACCTGGGAACCCCCTTACCCAGGAAGATCTTGACCTTCTTGGCCGCCGCGATATCGACGTCAATTACGACTGGACACGGCATGTGGGTACATATCCGGAACTTCGAGACGGCTACTGAAAGACCTTATCGCTAGCCACCCCATGGCCAACGATGTGGAGGTCCTTGGCCCTCACTGGCGTAATACGCTGAATCCGCAACAACGGCTCGTGTACGACACATTCATGGGTCACTTCCAGGCGAAAAATCCTACTCAAATCCTTCTCCACGTTGATGGTGGTGGTGGCACCGGCAAGTCGTTCCTTATCAAGGTGCTTTCCCTCCCAGCCGACGCAGCCGCCCTTCAGTCCCGCCTACGGCACGTCAAATACCTCGTGATCGATGAAAAGAGCATGCTGGGGATTGAGCAGCTCGCGCGGATCGATTCCCGTCTGCGACAGGCCTTTCCACAGCGTAGCCTCGAGTTCTTTGGTGGTATGAGCGTCTTGCTTGTGGGCGATTTCTTCCAGTTACCACCAGTCCGGCAAAAGCCCCTGTATTCGACTAGCACCAGCCTGTCTGCGTTGGAAAGGAGAGGGCATGTGGCCTACCGGTTATTTGATCGCACCGTCTTCCTGACCACGGTACAGCGCCAGGCTGGTGATGATCAGGCCCAGTTCCGTCAGGCGTTGCAGGAACTGCGTGAAGTCAAGTTATCCATACCGTCCTGGAACCTCCTTAGCAGTCGGGTACAGGCCAGGCTAACGCAGAGCGAGGTTGACAGCTTCAAGGCCGCTTTGCGGGTGTATTCTACAAGGGCGCGGGTCAACGAATACAATTACGAGCATATGGTTCATCTAAACTCTCCGGCAATACAGGTGGAGGCAAAGAATCAGGGCAAGGGCGCGGGCAGGCACCAAGCGACAATGCTGGCAATCTATCTAACAAGTTCCCCATTGCTAAGGGCGCCAGGGTAATGCTCACTACTAACCTATGGCAGCCAGCTGGCCTAGTTAACGGTGCCCAGGGTACTGTATACGATATCGCCTGGAACGCAGGCGCCGAACCATTGGAAGATCCCCCGGCCGTTATTATGGTGGACTTTGATAGCTACGACGGACCGCCATATCTAACAACTAACGAGGGCAGGAAAATCTCACCCATCCTCCCAGTCAGGCGAGACTTCCTTGTGGGCAACGAGACCTGCGCTCGCACGCAGTTTCCCCTGATTGTGGCGTTTGCCATCACTGTTCATAAATGCCAGAGCCTAACGAAGGATCAAATAGTTACTGATCTCGCTACACGCGACTTCCAGGCCGGGATTAGCTATGTTGCTGTCTCACGGGTTACGTCGCTGCAAGGCTTACTCCTCGAGGCGCCTTTCGATCGTCAGAGCCTCTATAACCACACGCCGACGGAAGGTTTACACGTCTGCGTTTCCTACGTACCGCGTTCACGACTAACTATAAGGCAGGGATGAAGATGCGCCTCGCTGACCAACAACGGCGTCAGGGTCAACAGCTGACCGACGCACCATATACACCACGCTACCTTGACTAAACGACATCTTCCTCTCGGCTGCAGGAAAAGGAGGTTCGATATATAGTATATAGTTTACAGTTAGGTTGGGCCTGTTAGGAAGCAGCAGAGACTCCTAACTATCAATTCCCTTAGTGCAGGTTTGGGGCGATTTAAACAGCTGGTTGCCCGCGGCAGGCGAATGGGGGGTTCTAGGGGGTCTCCCCCTAGGAAAGTGAATTGCAGGTATACGATATTTACCCTTCGGGCTGGATATTCAGCCGTTGAGCCCCTTGCCTTGGCAACTTAACGGGTGTTCGAAGTATTTTAACATTACGGTAACTTCCCGTGTGGAGAGCACACATCACGAGTTGAAGTCACGATTACGCAACCGCTTCATTGACCTCCATCAGCTACAAGAGCACATCAGAGGGCTCGTTACCCATCGGCAAAAGAAGCATCGCGAGAAGCTTCAATCCGAGTTTGCAAGAGCTAGAGTTGAATGGGCCAAGCAGACGATTATGAAGTCACTGCACCGAAAAATTGGCTGGCAGCCGATGAAACAGATCTTCAGGCAAGTTAGGCTAGCCTGGCTGAGCTTGCCGATAATCGAGGCATGCCTACGATTTGTACGGGTGCTTTCACGATGCAATGGGGGCTGCCCTGCCGGCATACAATCCGCGATTTGATCCAGGCTGACGCGGCCGCCCTTATACCATTGCATCTTATTGATAACCACTGGAGGGTTTACGGCGTGACTGTAAGTATCTTGCTCCAGCCATAAGTACTATACTAATTTACTAGCAGCCTGAACAACAGCAATATATCGATGCAGACCACGAAGCCGATCCTGACGTTGTCCAGCCTCGCCGGCGTGGAAACAGTAGACGCGAGGTATCCTCCACTAGAGGCATCTACGGGCCGGATCCTTAGTGCTTGGGAGCAAGAGGAGCATAGAGCCAACCCAGAGCTCGTATCACGGCCACCAGAGACGCAAAAGAAGAAGAGGAAGGGCACAGGCACCACTATCATGAACAAGAGGTCGAATACACTTGCTTCCGTGAGCAGCCGGGTTGACGATCTTGCCCAGCAGATCGGTGATTTCATCAAGTCACAAGCAGCAGCAACGCCGGTGCTGTTATCACAGGTGCCCTCACTTCCACAGGTGCCGCTGGTGTCACAGGGATACCAAACGACGATGCCCTCACTTCCACAGCCGGCGCCGCCGTCACAGGGATACTATGTGATGCCACCGCCTACACCAATTGTGCCTGTATACGTACAGGCGCCGGCGCCGTCACAGTGGCAAGAACCGCCTCCCTCGTCACAGGCACATCACGACGGCTTCATGTGGGCACAGCCGCCGGCACAGTCTCACGAGACGGCTACGGAGCATTTCCAGCAGCTAGGGGATCAGAGGGACACGGCACCATACAAATCTAGCAGGCAGGCCGGTCACAAATTCGTTCCTTACGTGCCTCGCCCTCCGCCGCGTCGGACTGATCCTTCCTCACAGTCACAGTCACAGTCACAGAGGTAGGCAAAGACCTTCCGCCATTATATGCATATTGTATATATATCGGAAGATCGATCGGGCCGGGCTTATTGATAGCTTCAATTGAATGACTCTTAAGGGATGCATCTTCCGGCGTTGGTAATAATTGCAGATAGAATCCATATATGTCAGACAATAGTGTCCCACACCTCGCACGTGACAGCGGTTGATCTTTGTGGCATCAGTCAATTGATGAGAATTATCTAAAGAACAAAGGAAAGGAAAAGAATTGGATGCACACATTCGTGCAACAATATATACCCGATCATTGCGGCGAAGCCGCGGCGCAGCAGTGGCAGTGATCGAGCATAAGGTTTCAGGAACTGACACGGGCGTGATATGCGACAATATATCTAGGCAGGCAGCCGCGGCAGCGGCGTTGGGAAAGCGCGCGCCAAATTTTGGTGGCGGGGTCTTCTTCCAAATGGGGCTTAGGTCGGGAGTGTATGTTTGAAAATCAGGAGTGTATGTTTGATTACTCTACCAAAAAACGCAATGCCGCCCCAAGCGGCGCCTCCCCCACGCCGCCTGCATCTAGGTCAGTCGATCCCCTTATGATGACATCAAAGCGGTCATTGCCCGATCCCGACCAAACCCCAACCAAGAGACCGCGACTTTCTCCAGAAATTTCCACCATAGTCGCCGCCTGTGATAGTCGAGGCCCCGCCAAATCCGACACTTCCTCCTTCTGTCCCACGAAGACCCGGAGACTCAGAGACGGACACCGAGCCAGTCAATCACCCAGCCACATCCGCCTCTGGCCCTATCAGACCTCCGGCGTCAATCTCTTCCCGACCCCACCGCGCCCGACATCCGCCCAAGAATATTCTGTAAAGCAACGAACGAAACAACACAACATGACAAGGAACATGTTTCATCATCCTCAAACTCAAGTGCGAAAGGCCCTAATGGGATATTTCCTTCTCCTCTTGCTCTCCTTTTCACAAAGACAATCCAGTCAAAACTTCTCCAATATACTCCTTATTCTGTTTATATCCACCACTTATAGCACCTGTAAATCCTCAGAGCCTTCCACTCGCCCACACATGCATTACCCACCCACAACTCTCTTCACCCCTGCCGCCTCTCCACGCCCTTTGCGCCTTTGCAAAGCAAAATCTCCTTGCAGCGGCCTAGGCTGCCTCTCTGACGCTCTGTCTCGATTTCACTCACGATAATGCTCTACGTCTCTCGCCGGATCTCCATCTCATATCTCTTATCTCACTCTTCTTCCTGTCTTCCTCTCACTTCCCCTGTCTCCTATCTCCTGTCGCCAACTCTCTCCTCTCGCCGACTTTCTCCTGTCGCCATCGCCAACTTTCGTTCCGAAAGGCCTCTTTGCGCGAGCCGCGGCTGGCGAGCCTTCCCCTCGTATTATTCAGCCCGAAGGGCGTTTATTCAGTCAAAAAGAAGAGCATAAACCCTGTTCTGATTGGCTACTTGGCCTCCCCTGTCCTCAACTCGTGAACGAATTGGTCGGCTGATAACGCCACCAAATGAAGGCCCACCACAAACCCCTGAGCGTTGACTAGGTAACTAGCGAGCTCTCGGAGAGCTCGCCGACAGCTTTCAGTTGTTCTTTTCTTCAACGCAATCAATTTGTTGGTTTATACGCACGCTTCTACTTCCCTTTCCCGTCGAATCTGTCGAACCCATCGAGTTGCTAACGGTGTCTAGGTTCGCAAATCACATCCGCAGCCGGCCTACCCGGGCAGGTAGTGCAGTTTCCTCCCAGATCATTCAGATCTGAGCCGACTACCTCAAAGACACTCTCCCTATCGAGCTCCACCACGGTCTCGGACCTCTCAACCGTCAGACAGCTCTGCTAGCATCACCAAGCCCTCGCAAAGCCTCCTGCCCGAGCGATATCTAGCAGTCAAAGTGGATAAGAGGTGGATATATATACGGTCAGATGGAGAACGATACACCCCCGGCAGTCCGCAACTGTCGTACTTGCAAGCAAGACCTGCCCGAAGTCGAGTTTCGAAGCGTCAAGGACCCTACAAAGTTTACAAGAGAGTGTGCCAACTGTAGGGCACGCCGAAGGGAGCGGTTAACCGAATCCCGAGCCGTCCTTGCCGCCATGCGGAATATCGCCTCGAGGCCATCGCCACGCAGAGCCACGAAGAGGACCGACGCAGTAGCTAACCTGACGCCTCCAAGGCGGACTGCACCAATACCTGCGTCTGCGAACGGCTTACGGCCTACGACGCCTGATTTACTCCGTTGCCTGGTGCCCGCGCCCTCGAGAATGCTTAGACCTCCGCTGAGGCCTTCTACCCCAAGCATTGTCGAGGGACTTTCCCCTATCCCCCCTACCCCTGGCCTGCCAACAGTAGTTCTGGGCACGCCGATTCAAGACAGTGCTTCTACAGCTCCTGTTGTGCAAGGCACTCCTATACCACAGGAATCGCTTCCTACCACTCCTTCATTATTGCCACAGGGTCATCACCGCGGCCGGTATACTCGTCAAGGCACACAGCCTCAAGTGCGACTGTTTGATCAGAGTATTGATCCGCCTTTTACAGGTGACCTTAACTTGCCTGCCCTCAATGAGGAAGATCAGGCCCTTGTGCGGGAGTTCTATACCGCCCTGAATGACGACAAGATGCACAGTTGCACTCGCTGCCAGGAGCGTTGGTTTGATATGAAGCCAAACCGCTTAAAAATATGCAGCCGCTGCATCGGTCGAGACAGGAAGAAAGCCCCTAACGAGCCCTACTTCTTTAGCGCCGCGAATAACCTTGACTTCGGGGAAGTCCCCGGCAATCTACCTGATCTAACGATGGTCGAGGAGATGCTCATTGCTAGGGTTCACGTACACGTCAAGGTCCTACAAGTGCGCGGCGCTCAATACAAATATCGAGGCCACGTTGTCCACTTTCTTCGCAACGTTGGTAGGCTATTTGAAGAGCTCCCAGTGCTACCGCAGGAGCTAGATATCGTGCTCCTACGGCCTCCTAATATGGAAGGCGACCTCACTTCCAGCAACAGTTTGCTCGCGATTTCCGGGTACGCCGTTCATGCATATTGACCTGGCTGCATTACCTGCAGTGCCACCACCCGGGCTATCGCGATATTGTCGTGAGCCAGGATCGCCTGCACCGGCTTCCTCTTGATGGAAGTATAGTGGGTTCCATTGCAAGCCAAGTGGCTGACATACCTGACGGCGAGGTCCCCCAAGGCCCCGTTGAGGAGGCTATGGATGAGGATCCTAGCGATGCCGACGCATCAGCGATCCCGAATTTGCAGGTTACCGATACCGAATTGAACGCCTTGCAGTCTAGATTTCAACGGTACCCTGACCCTGAGCGTATGGCTGATCTGGAGTACATGCCGCGTAGCGCAGGCTCACCACCAGATGCCATTGCCTTCCATTCGCAGGACCCCATCAACGAGTTCAACCGTTCCCAGCCGCTGTTAACGCTCGCGTTCCCCCCCTCTCCCCTGACGGCAAGGCCGACTTCGTGGAGCCTCGCCTACGGAGCATCACGTACCAGGACTACCTTGGCCATGCGATGAGATGGCGTGATGGACGTTTTGCCCGCCATAAGACGTGGCCTTTCGTCGCCCTCAACACGCTGTTACGCGCGCAGGTCCGAAAGCGAAGTGACTACTTTGTCAGGCAACGCGACAGCCGCCGCCAACCCCTTACACGCGCTGACCTAGAGGAGGCGATGGCTGAGCCTGACGAGCCGGAGGCTCAGGCCCTGATCCAGTCGATCACGCGCCAAGCAGCGGTAATCAGGGAACCCGACCGTATTGGTATAAGCAAAGGAAGGAGTTGGAAGCATATGCCTATAATCTAGGCAGGCCCGGCCTCTTCGCTACTGTAAGTGCAGCTGATTACCACTGGGAATCCCTATACCGTCATATGCCTCGATTCGACGAGTGGCAAGCAGCTCCCGAGGCGGCGCGGATTGCTCTGTCCCGGCAACTGCTGCGAGACAACGCCCACATCGCCGCTTACCACTTCCATAAGCGCTATACACTGCTTAGGGCTATTGTCCTGAAGCGGAAGTTCAACCTAACGGACTTTTGGGGTCGGTACGAGTGGCAGGGCAGGGGTTCCAGTCACCACCATGGCCTATATTGGCTAAGTGGCCACCCAGACTTGGATCCTGACAATGATCGGTCCCGAGAGCGATTCGCCCGTATCTGGGGATATTACATATCTGCTATCAACCCGGATCCTCGGCGCATACAGGCACCCGGAGAAGGAAACCTCTGATCATTAATCTGTTGCAACACCCTTACCGTTCAATTCCTATCGATGATAGTCAACCGCGTGCAACGCCACCACTGTAACAACTACTGTATGCACCTCAGCAAGCATACCAAGCAGATGGAGTGCCGCTTCGATTTCTCACGGCCAGCGCCTACTAGCCTCCCTTGACAAGGCTCCTCACTCTAAGCACTGGAGCTTTAGGGGCGCGCGGAACGATGGCCAGATTAACCACTATAACCGCTTGCTTACCGTTGCGTGGCTAGCCAATACAGATGTCTCGCCCTGCACGAGTCTACAGCAGGTGATCGACTACGCAGCAAAATACTGCTCCAAGTCAGAAAAGAAGAGCGATTCTTTTGCCCAGATTGGGAAGGCCCTGATGCCCCGGGTTAAGGACCACAACCCCCTGATTTCCTTTACGTCAAAGCTACTAAATCAGCTAGTTTCTGAGCGGGATTACTCGAAGCAGGAGGTTTGCCACTTGCTCCTCGGCCTGCCGTTACAGGAGGGTTCACGTACCTGCCTATACGTTGACTGCCATAATTCTGATAGGCATTCCCGCTACCTCCGCATTGACGGCGATGAGGTTGATGAGGCACCCAACGTCTACGAGAAGTACAGTCAACGCCCAGAAGCTCTAACGGACCTCACTTACGTCTCCTTCCTCAAATTCTGGAATTTCCGCTCTAGAGACCCTTCCAAGTGGAAGCAATGGCAGCCAGGCAACGTCCACGGCAGGCCCCGTGTGTTGGTTTACTTTCCTCGCTATCAGGCTGATCCAGAAGGCCAGCAGTGGCCAGACTACTGCCGTGTAAAGCTGACTTTAAATCACCCACATCGCCGGCTCGATGAGCTCCTCACTTTCGACGGCCAGCTTTTTAGTTCCCACGTTCAGGCCTTCTCCTATTGTTGGCAGCATCACAGTCACGATGATGACCATTACGGCCAGCCAAGTGAGGCTCGATTACAGCCTCAAGAGGATCAATACGAGGCTCTGCCTGTGGAGGAAGAATTTGATGACGAAGACTGGATTCGCCTGGCTGCCCATTTTACCTGACCACCCTTACCCAGGAAGACCTTGACATACTTGGCCACCGCGATATCGACGTCAATTACGACTGGTCCCGGCATGTGGGTACTTATCCGGAGCTTCGAGATGGCTACTGGAAAGACCTTATCGCTAGCCACCCCGTAGCCAACAATGTGGAGGTCCTTGGCCCTCACTGGCGTGATGAGCTGAACCCACAACAACGGCTCGTGTACGACACATTCATAGGTCACTTCCAGGCGCAAAATCCTACTCAAATCCTTCTTCACGTTGATGGTGGTGGTGGCACAGGCAAGTCATTCCTTATCAAGGTGCTTTCTCCCATCTTCAGGCAGCCGCCCTACCGAATCCTAGCCCAATTTGCCGCGTGGCGCCAACAGGCGTTGCGAGTAACCAGATACAGGGTAGCACTATTCATTCGTTGCTACGCCTCCCTGTGGGTGGTCCTTTTACCGACCTTCCCCCAACCGACGCAGCCGCCCTTCAGTCCCGCCTACGGCACGTGAAATACCTCGTTATCGATGAAAAGAGCATGCTAGGGCTTGAGCAGCTTGCGCGGATCGATTCCCGTTTGCGACAGGCCTTTCCACAGCGCAAAGTCGAGTTCTTTGGGGGTGTGAGCGTCTTGCTTGTGGGCGATTTCTTCCAGTTGCCACCAGTCCGGCAAAAGCCCCTGTATTCGACGAGAACCGGCCTGTCCTCGTTGGAAAGGAAAGGGCAGGTAGCCTACCGGTTGTTTGACCGCACTGTCTTCCTGATCACGGTACAGCGCCAGGTTGGCGATGATCAGGCCCAGTTCCGTCAGGCGTTGCAGGAACTGCGTGAAGTCAAGTTGTCTATAACGTCCTGGAACCTCCTTAGTAATCGGGTACAGGCTAGGCTAATGCAGGTGAGGTTGACAGCTTCAGTACCGCTTTGCGGGTGTATTCTACAAAGGCCCGGGTCAACGAATACAACCACGAGCATATGGTGCACCGCAACGCCCCGGCAATACAGGTGGAGGCAAAGAATCAGGGCAAGGGCGCGGGACAGGCACCAAGCGACAATGCTGGCAATCTATCTAACAAGTTCCCTGTTGCCAAGGGCGCCAGGGTAATGCTCACTACTAACCTATGGCAGCCAGCTGGCCTAGTTAACGGTGCTCAGGGTACTGTATACGATATCGCCTGGAACGCAGGCGCCGACCCATTGGAAGACCCCCCAGCCGTTATCATGGTGGACTTTGACAGCTACGACGGACCGTCATATCTAACAACTAACGAGGGCAGGAAAATCTCACCCATCCTCCCAGTCAGGCGTGATTTCCTAGTGGGCAACGAGACCTGCGCTCGCACGCAGTTTCCTGACGGTGGCTTTTGCTATCACTGTTCACAAATGCCAGAGCCTAACGAAGGATCAAATAGTTACTGACCTCGCTTCACGCGACTTCCAGGCCGGTATTAGCTATGTTGCTGTATCACGGGTTACGTCGCTGCAAGGCTTACTCCTTGAGGCGCCTTTCGATCGTCAGAGCCTCTATAACCACGCGCCGACGGAAGGTTATGCGCATTTCCTACGTATTGCATTCACGGCTAACTATGAGATAGGGATGAAGATGCGCCTCGCTGACCAAAAACGCCGTCAGGCTCAACAGCTTACCGATGCGCCGTATCCACCACTTTATCTTGACTAAACGTCGTCTTCCCCTAAGCTACATGTGTGTGTGTGTGTATTTTCCGTCCAGCGGCCGTGAGGCCGCTCAGGTCCCGGTGGGGCACAGGACGTGCTGAGCTAGGCTATCGAGAAAATCCTGCCACAGTAGGCCTCACCCAGCGCTTCTTGCAAGGCCTCGCAAGGGCGAGCTGTCGGGCTCAATCCCCGGAGACGGCTTTCCTACCCCCTCCACTGGTAGGTTGTCGCTAAGCACGTCAATACAAGTGTCCGTGGCTATCCTCTGCAGCCAGCCTTCCCGAAGTCCATCCAGCATTTCATCGGCTCTAAGGCGCTCAGTGTCGGAGCCTGGTGCCCGTCAGCGGGTCGTCCAGGCGCGTGGCGATTGCCACAATGGTCAACCCTTGGTTTTGTCCGGTCAGAATTCTCTCGCTCTCTCGCTAACGCTGCTGTCGCAGTCCATGCTTCGGTAACCAGGCGATGGAAATAGCGCAGGAGCGGCGGCAGGAAAACCCTCGAAGGAATCAGAGGCTGTCGTGCAGCTTGCCTTCAGGAGAAAAACCTGCGCAACCAGCCACCGTTGTTTAGAAGGGCGGGCCTTCCAATACCCACAGCTCCTTGGTTCCGAAGGAAGCTGTGAGGTCCGTGTGGACGTGTTGTCGAGACCGGCTTTGCAGAGGAATATGAACTCTCCTAAGGTCTTCCTCTGTGCTGTTAGGGCCACGATGGACCCGGGCAGCAAAAGCGCGGTCGGGTGGCCTGCAAATCCGGCCCCCTGCTAGCGAGCCGCTAACAGCTCTGACGGGGGAAGAATTTTTACAGGGGAGAGTTCTCCCCTAAGCTACAGGGAAAGGGGCGGTGAGGTATAGGGTATATAGCTAGACTGGGCCTGCTAGGAAGCGTTTTAAATAGCTGGTTGGCCGCTGCAGGCGAAAGGGGGGTTTCTAGGGGCCCTCCTTGGGAAAGCCGAATTGCAGGTATACGATGTTCAGCCTTCGGGCTGGATATTCAGCCGTTAAGCCCATTGCCTTGGCAACTTAACAGCTGTTCGACGTATTTTATCCTATGTGTGACAGAAGTAGGGGTGATATACGAAGGTGAATTTTTTGAAGATTTTGAATGAAGGATGAATCAAATGAATTGAATTTTTGGGATCTCGATTCAAAATCTTCAAGCTCCAATTTTCGCGATTCAAGTTGGGTTTGGGCCAATTCAGGCCATTCATGAATGGTTTGAAGGATCCCCTAAACGAAGTGAATTTGGTGTGTACCTAAGCGATTGCAAAAATACCTCAAACAGCGCTCCTAATAGTGCAGACCGTTTAGCGCACTATTACTCGTCCCACAGACCCACGTACCTGCAGTTTGCACTGCTTAGTCAGCACACTGCCAGTGCAGTGTAACCGTTTGGCAACGCACTGCTGGTCCAGTGAGGCCTCCCCCTCCACACTGCTGGTTCAGTGCGGCTCCCGTCAAACTGCCCCATAGTTCAGTGCGAGCGTCGCGCACTATCAGTGTCACCATCAGTGTGACGAGTGTGACTTGTGTGATAGAGCTAAACTTGGACGTTTGACCATTAACGTAATTCCTGGCCTACTTACAACGAGTCAATCGCTGATTAAACGGCGGGATGCGTTCTTGCTCAATTTTACAACCCATCTAGCTCTTAGTTACGAGATACCAATATCCAACGCGGCCAACGCAGCCCACGAGGCCCACGAAGCCAACGAGGCCAACGAGGCCAACGAAGCCAATACAAAAGCCAGCGATTTAGGCGGTACCGGTACGAGCCATGTGGGGTGCACGCGATTTGGGTGACAAGGTGTGGCAGTGTCGGGCACAGAAAGGTGGGGCCCTGGGTACAAATAGGGAAATGTCCGAGTACAAATAGGACTACTCTTTAGATATGGTTGGTCGTACTCTGGGAATGGAGTTATTAGCGGCTAACGATCCAAATATCGCCAACCCTGAGCCAGCACTTGCACCCACCCCCCGCGGAGTATGAATAGCATGCATGTGCACATGTGGGCACTGGCATGCTCCTTATCCTAGCGGATTCGTTCTGCATGACCCCAAGTGCGAGACAATGGTGGCCTTGGTGGGTATGAAATCTCCAGTTTCTCCACCCGGTGACCCCCGCCTTATGCGCGATGTGCAACGAAAGGTGTGCCAGTATTCGTATTCTCGGCTAAGAAGTGCCTCAAGATCGGCCATCATAGTCGTCTGTGATGGATTTATGTTCCTGTTTATGAATGGTGCTTTGATGTTTCTGGTCTGTGCATAGGTAACATGGGGTTGCAAGTCGTCATTGGTCCACGTGTTCCACTACGGGTAGTTCTCGACCCGTTTCCTGAGACACGAGGAACACGCATACCGTACGTACTCCGTAGAAATTCAGCAAATTCGTTCGACTTTTAGCGCCTGGACCGGGGTTCCCCACAGGTCTCAGCGCCACCAAATTTGTATACAGAATGTACATCTAGCCGGGCCCGCCTCTGCCAGTCTGACAACTCAGCGCACAACGCCGGCACGGCCAGGTATCTTTCGTATACCGTAGGAACTCAGCAAATTCGGCAGGTCTTGGCGATGGAAAAATGCGGGGGCAGCTAATGAGATTTTTCATAGGAGGACAGATCGTACAAAACTCCACTAATAAGTGGGTTTTAGCGCTGCCAAGACCTGCCGAATTTACTACGGTACAAATTTGGTGGGGCTGAAACCTGTGGGGAGCTCCCCGGCCCAAGCGCTAAAAAGTGAAACGAATTTGTTGAATTTCTACGGTAGTGGCCTGCGCCCAATGATGTCGCGTCACTTGCACACCGCGGGTACCGGGCTCGACTCCGTGCGAGGTGGCCTGTACGGTAGTCTATATAAGCCATGACGCACCTTGGGGAGCGGAGAGTCTCGTCACTCGGCTCTCGAAAGCTAACAGTTTTCTTGTCCTCTTATTAGCAACTCTTTGCAACTTCCTCGGCAATGAGTTCTACCGACCTCAGCAAGATCGGCTTTGATTCCTGGCGGGGCCTTTGGCAGTACGATGGCAACCTTTTGCACACTCTTGGCCTGTTATTCTTGCTGGTAACTGCACTAAGTTAGTCCTCCTTTGACGTGGCTGTGTTCTGACAGCGATCTAGATCGTTGCCTACGGCGTAGCGCAAGGCATCTATCGTATTTGGTTCCATCCACTTTCCAAGTTTCCTGGACCGCTGCATCTGTCTCTTACATCGTTACCCGCTGCATACTCCAACTACATCCAGGGAACTTGGGTGAGACATGTTGCCAAACTGCATCAAAAGTATGGCCCCGCGGTGCGAATCGGACCAAATCACGTCTCCTTGGACGGCTCCATTGGATGGCCAGAGGTTTATGGCCGTCGACCAGGCGGAAAAGCAGAATTCCAGAAAACACCCCCCGTGTTTAAAGAACAACACGAAGCTCTCGTCTCCGCTTCTCGTGACGGTCACCGACGACAACGCCGACAGCTGGGCCATGCATTTAGCGACGCTGCCCTGGCGCAGCAGGAACCTGTCATTATCAAGTATGTGGATATGATGCTCGACCGCCTTTCTCGGCGTGCCGACGAGGGCCAAAGCATCAACATTGTCGAATGGCTGAACTTTACAACTTTCGACATCATTGGCGACTTGGTGTTTTCCGACTCTTTCTCCTGCTTGGAGAACAACGGATACCACCCCTGGGTACTGACCATCTTTCGCGGCGTTCAAGGCATACTTCTTCTACGCTTTTCTCAGTACTACCCACTCATCGGCTGGATCATCGGCAAATCCAGCCGGCGGTCGTTGGCAAAAGTATTACTCGGGGCCCGATCCGGTGTCAAAGACAAGGCCAAGGCTCGCCTAGAGCACGGCCCGAAACCACCCGGTCAACACCAGGATATCATAGCCTACATGATGAAGAAGACTCGCGATGGTGGCGACGGCATGAGCGAGAGCGAGGTCCTGGTGAATACGCATGCACTTGTCGTCGCCGGCAGTGAAACAACGGCGACAACTCTGTCGGGATTTTGCTTTACCTGTCGCGGAACCCACTGGCCTACACCCTGCTCGCCGACGAGATTCGCGCCGCTTTCGCATCCGAAGAAGACATCAACTTGGTCAGCACCCGCTCGCTCGAGTATCTGCAGGCCTGTATCAACGAAATACTTCGAATGTATCCGCCCGCGGCCGAGACTGCTACCCGAGTCTCCCCTGGCGACATGGTGGACGGCAAGTTTGTGCCGGCAGGGGTGAGTCCGGCTTTCAATTCTCGAGACACCCTTTTTTCTTTGATGCGATCCTTGACAATCTTTGTTCTGACGTCTTTTGCTTCTCTATCAGACCCATCTTTCCGTATATCCATGGGCTACTTTCCAGAACCCAGCCAACTTCGTCGAGGCCGAGTCGTATATCCCAGAACGATGGCTGCCAGCCACACATCCTCGATACGAGGGGCGCTTTGCAGCAGACAAGCGGGCCGTCTTCAAGCCATTCAGCTATGGCCCACGAGATTGCATCGGCAAGAACTTGGCCTATTCCGAGATGAGGTTAATCATTTGTCGCCTTCTCTACCGTTTCGATTTCGAGTTGGCCCACAAGCAGGAGAGCTGGCATGACGACCAGAAGATCTTGTTCTTCTGGCAGAAGAAACCTCTTTACCTAAACCTTCAGCGGCGCGGCCCGAAGATTCAACAGATTGGCGAGTCGCTCTATGGATGAATCCGCTCAAGAGGGCCGAGTATCGTCTCTCATTTGCTTTGCCTTGAGGAACGAAAGGCTCTTCCTTCCGCCCCCTTCCCCTGAACGCACAGACCACTAAGCGATCCGTGCTCCTCTTGCGCCACCTGTGCGCCACTTCTCCTTTCCTCTCCTTTCGTTCCTCGAGGCATTGGCGGCCCCGCAGGGGCCGGTCTCCTGTGGCTGGTCAAGGCGCAGCGCCGATACCGCACAATTTGGTGGCGCGTCCCCCGCGCCTACCACGCGCCCCCCTTTGAGCCCTCTGCACGCACCTTGCAAAGTGAAGCTATTCGCACCCACGGGCGCCGAGGCAGGCAGAGGCTGCTTACGTTATTTACACATATTCGGGCTTGAGGGTCAAAGGTGCGTTATTTGAACGAATTGACGCCTGCCCGCCCGGCTACCCGCCCAGTAGCCTGCCTGTCCTTAAGAGAGTTCGTCTGCATACAAATCTTGCTGTGCCTCTTCCTCGTCTTGGACGGCCGCTTCCACCTTATCCCACTGATCATCATGCGAAGGCTCCGGCGAGGGCGCCTGTGAAGGCATCGCGACAATGATTGTGCCTTGTGTGTGCTGTGACCTCGTAGGCTGGTCGGGCTGGTCGGGCTGGTCGGGCTCGTCAGCAAGCTCATCGTCAGAGACTGGCGTACGGCGTATAGCTTGTTGATATGCTCGTGGCATGCGTGTGCCTGGCTCGTACGCATCGCCCCGCTGTTGAAGGTATCGCAGCCCCTCTCTCGTCACTGTAGTCGCATTCCTCTTAGCGGTTGACAAGGCTGGCGGCGACGCCTTCGTGGCCTCGCTGCGTTCGATGCCTTCCACGATCTCGTATGCGGAGGGGTCTCGTCTCGTACTGCGTGTGTTCTCGAGGTTAAGGGCGCCCTGGGGTCTGCCTTTGCCACGCACAACAAGCGGCTCAAATGGCGCTTTGAAGCCTGTGGAGATGGGTGCTTGTTGTACGTGCCAAAAGACATCAAAGTCATCAAGCCGCAACGAAGCCCTCTCTTTGACTGGCTCTTCAAGCCGCTTGAAGAGAAGGTGGCGGCACGGCAGGCCCATGCTGATGTTGAAGCTACAAGGGCAGCAGCCTGACGGCTTCACTAGCTTCTTTGTGCGTAGATTTGATCGAATTGTGTTGTGTTGTTCAGCAACAAGGGTAAGGGCCCGAGATGACACCCTCTCGCGCACCGTGAGATACAGGTCTTTGAGTGTAAAGGAGCTGATTTTGTGCACATCGTGACGTCGAATAGCCTCAATTTCAGAGGCCTGATGAGCCCAGAAGGCAGCGAATTTCTTGAAGACGGTTGTGAGATCCCCTGTTGAAGACCAAAGGAAGCGCTTCATCGAGGAATGTAGACCCTCAACGACTGAGGTAGTTGTATGACCAAAGTGGCGATGCTGGCTGACGAAGCAAGTGACGAGCTTCTCCTTGGGCCTAGTTAAATAACCACCTCCTCCCACTAATCTGCCACCCAAAAGTGGGTCAATGTGGCGCACCTTTAAGGTAAAGGTGGCGTAACGCAAACAGGAGACCGGCCCCTTCCAGGGTCCGCCAATGCCTTGAGGAACGGGACGAGAGTTGGGCATAGCCGAGCGCGAGCACTCGGGTTGTTTTTATAAAAACAAGTCTGTTGGAGAAGAGGTGGTTGCTTGGACCCGCTACAGCACCTTACCCGTTTAAGCCTACCCCTCATCTCCACCCTGCGGCACAAATGAGCTTCAAATTGATTCAGCCTCTTCACACAAGCAACCTTCAACGATTTGGTCATCGGAATTAGGTCATCATGGCCCTTGAGTGCAATAGCTGCAAGAAGTCGCCGCCTGAAGTTGCCCTCCTCAAGAGGTGCGCGAAATGTTCCACCACGCCGTACTGCTCCAGGGATTGCCAGAAGGCAGACTGGAAGGTCCATAAGAAGGTTTGTGGCAAACAGGCCGACGCCACGACATCGTTCCAAGATGGGCCTACAACGGGAAATTCATCGCCTCCGAAGGGGTTGGAACAGGGCGTCATCCGCCCCTTCACGCGTCTTGAAAATCGCACTTGGCTGCATGATCGATCGGAAAGAGATGTCTACGGGCTGCTGATCGACGCCTACCGACTGCGCGTTGAGGACATGTACAACATTGAAGGCGAAGCAGACGCGGATAGCATATATGGTGGTGCCGCCAACGGGTTGCGTGGCTTCAAGCGTTTCCTGGAGCGCGTCGAGCGTTGTCCCGGTATACTGCCGCCGTGGTGGGATGCAAAGAAGAAGAAAGAGTGAGACACTCGGTATGACCCCATCGCAATGGCACGACCTACGAAGCGCGGTGGAAAAGAGCGACATCATCGAGCAATATGGGGATTCCCGATTCCCGATGCAGCTTCGGATGTTTGCCGAGTCCGTGTACGGTCGAGCTCCGGGTGGGACAAGTGGGACGGCGATGAGTCAAATGATGGTCGCGATGGAGCAGGGTAAAGCAGAGGGGATGGAGTCGCATATGATGGACATGTCAGCAGCCATGCTTGGTCGGCGGTGAAGGGATACGCTTGGTTAGTCGACAGCACCGCAGATCGAGTAGAAGCTGGCCGATCGTGGCTACGACGTACGAAAGGGTCAAACTATCGGGATGGTTAGTATACTGCCACTACTTTTCGAAACCTTGGCCCTCGTATAACCGTCTCGTTTCCGCGGCCAAGTTCTTGAGTCTCTGCATTCCATCAAGTATGGCCTGATCCAGCCCATTGCCAATGAAATCATGGTACCTCACGGGACCAAGAAGCTTGATGCCCCGAAGCGAGGTGCACCTGGACAGTTGCACATAGAGGCTCGTAAAATCGCACTTGGAGGGTTCACCATTGGTCACACGATTTCCACGCAGCTCCAACAGTACTTCGACGAACGTTTTACCCTGGGCCTTGTAATCGGTGAGAACGAAGGCTGGTACGACGGGCAACCCACGTCGCGTGCATCTTGCCGACAAGAATTTGAAGTGAGAGCTAGTCGAATCGAGCGTATGCGACATGGGACGGATGAGTACCGTCCCCACCGGGAGGGATGGTATCGCCAAGGCTTTCGTCTCCTCGGACTGCAGAAGAATGCCGAGCGGTGGCCCGAAGTGGATGGTCACGTCATCCGCCAAGCAGTATCCCGGGTGATTGGGATCGATTATCACGTCCACGGCAGTAAAGTCGGCCCCATTCACAACCTTCAGGCCAGTGTAGATGTTCTTGTTCACAACCACGGGTATGCCCTGGGCGTAGAAGAAGACGCCGGGGACTTTGCAGGCAGAGTCGTCGCCTTGTCCGATGGTTCGCGCTACGATGTCTGGAGAAAGCGCGCCGCTACGCCAGGTGTGAGTCGAGACAAAGATACGGATATGCCGCTGGTTGAAGCGCGCCCAGCCCACAACAGCTTCCATGTTGAGGGCCCACCGGGTGCGGTTCAGCGGCGTTATAGCACGCAAACCATCGTGGAAGGTGATTTGGGAGCGTCCTACGATGTTGGCGTTGAGCAAGTCCAGGTCTTGCTGTGTCTGGCGCCCGTTACGGACTCGGTCCAGGAGTGCGCGGAGCTGGGGATCGTTGCGTGCGCGGACTTGGTCTTCGAGGAGCACCACGGTTTTGAACAGATGCCACAATCTGCAGCCGCTGTGGTGAGAGATGGTGGCTTGTCGCAGGGGGGTCTCTGTTCGGTCCGGCGGTCTGATGATCAGTAGGCTTGTTTCCCGCACGGGGGGCGAACTGGTAGAAGTCTCCCATCAGTAGAACGACAGGCATGCCACCAAACGGTTCGTCCGGACAGTCACGGAGCGCCTGCAGGTGGCGACTGACGTTGTGCAGAGTGGCTCCTCCCAGCATACTGACCTCGTCAATCACGAGCACCAGCTTCTGTTTCCAGATCCACTTCTTCGCCTCCGAGAAGGGGGGAGGCGGTTTGTTTGGATCGCGATGGGAATCTAACCCACAGGCCGAGTGGATGGTCGTGCCGCCAATCTGGGCCGCCGAACTGCCCGACGTGCCGGTTATCTGCAGAAGATGCGGCTGGTTCCTCGCCGCGAACACGTCCTTGAGGGCATCGATAATCCTCGACTTTCCCGTGCCACCCGGCCCGCCGGTGTATTGAAGATGCTGACCCGCTGAGTCCGGATTGGCAGTATACTTGTCCAGAAACAGGCAAACGAGTCGAAGGGCCATGGTCTGTAGATAGTTCAATGTAAAGCTGGCCGCGGTGGCGTGTCCCATCTCCGCGAAGCTAGTTGCCGGACTGACGTCGACAAGCATCCGAGGGCCTCGTTCATTGAGGTCGCTGCCCGGGAGCGCAGCAGCGGACTCCATATCGCCGTAGCAAGCTAGCGTATCGTCGATGTCGGCGCCATCCGCGGAAAGCATGGTCCCCTGAGAACCACCCTCTATGTCGTCTAGCATCCGAAGATGCAAAAGTTGTTGGGCCTTGGCCGCTGCTTGGACATTGTTCTGAGATATTGGGAATTGGCACGAGGCGTCACCTTGATCGTGGGCCATATTCCGGTACAAATCCTCTTGACGTTGGACGAAAGGTTGCTCTTCTTCAGTCGGGTTCTCTTCGCATAGATCGTGTATTAAAACTCCAAGGACGGGTGAGTCTTTTGTGGCGTCCGTGTCCTGCACGGCATTTCGCAAAATATGGAGTAGAGCTCTGTAGGCCTGACGATGAGCCATCGCTGGAGGCTCTTCTTCGTATCGGCCATCGTCAAGTGGGTACTCGACGTCAATTGTGTCGTCGCCCTCCGACCGACTGGCCCAGAGCTTCGCGTCCTTACGCGCGTCTTCGGCCGACTTTCTCAAAAGACAAATGTTAGAGACGTAGAAACGGATACGGGGACAAAGGCCCGCCCGATGCGTCGTCCATATGTCGGTTATATCGCCTAGGCTCTCAGAAATGAAGTTTTCCCAAGGAACGAATAGCGCCAAATGTAGGACAGAATTGCTGCACAGGATGTCAGACGGAGCGAAAACGGTGCCCGGGGGGTAGAGCGTACCGCTTAATATACACTGGGTGGTCATCCTCGTGGTCGTCGCTGATGTATCCTTGGAAGATCGGGACGGCGTACTGGTCGGGCCGTCGAAGCTTTTGCATCCAGCCTTCACAGTCGGGATCCTGGCCATCGAGAAAAATGTGAGAGTCATCTTCACTCCGACCATTTCGACGCACCAAGTGAATCATTGACATGTAGTCATACAGGCATAAGTCTTGTAGAACATGACCGCGGTAGGCGTACGCCTCTAGGCATAGAAGGGTTCGCCCTCCTTGCCTCAGAGGGATTGTCTCCGGGGGCTGTACGGCGTCCGTCAGCTCGCCGGCCTGATGGCGGAGATGCGCCCACAGCCGAAAGATTGTCCAGTAGAGGGCCGTCAAGTTCAGGAAGGACCAATGCGGCACGTTGGTAAAGTCGGTGTCATATCCAAGGAGATGGTAGCAGACCTCCACAGCCGAGAGCTGTCGCTCGGAGAAGATCCGGTTTGCCGTTCTCATCAGGAATTGACGGCTTTCGTTCAATACTGCCTGCTGCCTCTCGTCGGGCAGGGTGGGACCTGGCGCGCGAGACGTCGGACGACCGGCCTCGCGAAGTTGGCGGGCAACCTCGGTGGCGAGAGCAATGCGCTTCCACATCGGCGTATCCAGTTTGGTGGCGTAGTTCGTGATGTAGTACACCATGGCCAGGCCCTTGGTTTTGGTCAAGATCATCGAGACGTCGTGATTGTGGCGAAGGCCGACCGCCAATGACTTGTTATACCGGTTGACGAGTGGATGGTTACGCCGGATCTGAAGCAGACCGTCCTCTGTGAACCCTGTCTCCTCGACGATCTTCCACGGTGCCTTGAAGCGGCAGGCTGTCCTTCTCTGTGGATCTGCACCCTGTTCGACGATGCCCTTCAGAGAATACTTGAGGCAGGTGTACGTGTGGGAGTGCACTTGGCAACAGTACGCGATGAAGTTGGATTCGTCTTCGAAGGCCGCAGTGAGAGCCGAGGTGCTCGTCATGACCTCCTCCACAGGGTAGATAGGCTTCCTCTCCTGTCGCACGGCTTTTCCGGCATCTTCATCTAGACACTCATGAAAGACGGAGTCTACGTATCGGATCACCTGGGCACGATATGCTCCTTCCGCGGGATTGGCCATGTCGTCCATCAGGTTCGGCAATCGCATGTTGCCGTCCAGCCAGAGGAGCCCATGCAAGTGGAGGCTGCCTCGCTCGTTCGTTTCCACCGTCGCGTAGTAGTGGCTGATCTTCCCGAAGATCGATTCCTGGCCTGTGTTCACGTATTTGTCAAAGAATAGGGATATTTCTCGGTGGAAGAAGATGGCCGAGCTGACCGGATCCATGGTGCTCAGGGCGATTCTGTCGTACCTTTCACGGAGATCGGCTAAAAGTTCCTTTGCAGACTCGTAATCGTGGAGCCTATGAATGGCAAGCTTCATCTTCACCGGATTATTAATGTCGTTAGGACTGATGGTAATCCAGATTGCAGGCATACCGGCGCGGATGTCCAGAGCTTGTATCTTCCTCCGCATAAGTAAACGGGATTCGTTCGAGAGCGGCTGTGCATGGCCAAAGATCGACAGCTCGCGAAGCAAGAGCGATATGTCGGGGTCCGACGTAGTCCTGGTCTCCCGCATCTCCGCCTCGGCCCTCTTCAGTCGGTCCTCGGTCAAGTTCGCATAGGCTTGCTCAAGTCTGTGGAAGGAATCTTCAGCGACACGGACCATGCTGATGCGGCGGTTGGAGGAGCGAAGGAGGGTGTTGAATACTAAGAAACAAAAGACAGGATGGGTGGCAAATCGGCCTCCATGCCGTTGCAATACGTATCTGGCCCAGTAGTTGAGCGAGTGATTCGGACGACGGTCAGTAACATCGCTTTGTCGGCTATGACTCGAGTCGCCCTTCGATTTCGGCCCCCCCCTTCCCCACGGAAAAAGCTTCGGAAATGTTCGAGGGAAGAAATCTTCGTGCAGGTTGTCTGCAAAATCCGCACCACGCTCTACTCGGGCAAACGGCTGGTCTCCCGTAGTTTGGACCTGCATAACGCACGGCACAGAGGTGCCATGTCGGTCTGGATTGGCGTTTACGATGTCGGCCAGAAACGACAGTTTATCGGTCTCGGCGAAGGCAGCCGGTCCATCGAGAGGAAACATGCCGGACGTAGACGTCTCACAGACAGTGTCCACTTCCTGGCCGATGGCAGCCGAGTCGGGGACAAGAGTCACCGGCTCACCAGGAGAGGGTTGAGTCTGCTCGGTCGACAGAGTACAGTCCAAATCGCAAGATTCGGCGATGAAAGTAGGATCGATCGAGTTCACCAGTTCATCGATGCTTCTAAAGCTGTTTTCCTGCAAGCCTCGGTCGGTGTCCGGCACTATATGGTCCGTCTGTGTCTTCTCAACAGTCGACGGTTCCTCTCTTCGCATGCGGTCCATGATGACGGTCGGAACACTGGACCCGTCGGCATACTGCCAGCCATCTATCTCCGCTTGGTCGATTGCGATGTCCTCGTAAAGCGGGTTGTTCCTTCGCAGCCATGCCAGGGCAGCTGCCACTCGAGATTTACGCACCTGAAGCAGGTGTCTGACGTCTGCGGAGCCAGGCTTGCCCGAACCGCTCCAAGAGATGTGGATGTTCTCAATGGCCTGCAGTAAGGGATGGGGAAGAACGGTGGCAACAAGATCGTCCACCTTGTTCGGAAAGACGACGATATGTCCTTTCATGTGCTTGCGGTAGCTGATTCCCGAACGGGTCTTGTTGTCGACCGTGAACTTGGTGATATAGCCAAAAGGTGCGTGCAGGGCAATGAGTCTCTCTTCAACGGGAGAGAGGTCATCAAGCTCCTTGGGGTACCGATGCTCGCAACCGATGGCCATGTTGTTAACCGAGCAGGCTTTGGGCAGCCGTCCACCGTCGAAGCTGACGCGACACTCGCGGCATACGTCAACTCCTGCGCGCTCGTGCGGCGGAAGGCAAGCGTCACACTTCTGGATAGCCCTGGTCGCCTGCAGCAGGGAGGGCGACAAACGACCTCTCCACTGCATGGCTGAGAGCTCGCAAGGCGGCGTCTTCCTGTAGCAGAAGACGCAGTGAGAAATCCGTAACGTCCTCTCGTCCGTAAAGGCTTGGTAGAACGATTTAGGAGCTGCTACCCGAAGGGCAAGTGGAATTTCGTTGCACCAGGATCTTGTTGACGACGCCTGCTCCTTGGCGCGGAAAGAGGCGTTATAGTGATGTAGTGCGGATTCGACTGAGCCTCGTTGAAGTTGAAAGGTTTCTCGCATCGGCCGAGGTCTTTTGGGGGGGCGCTTGGGCAGCGTCGGCGGTGGAGTGGGAAGCGCTTGCTCTTGTCTAGGTCGTTTCGGGGACGGAGTCGCCGGCGGCTGAGTGGTGGTCGAAGTGGGAGGTGCTTCTTCTCTGAGTCGGTTCGGCGATAAATTGCCTCGCGGCTGCGTGTGTGGGTTATATTGGTATTGGGCTTCACGTCGGCGGGGTCGGTCTTCAGCGCGCTGGCGATCCATATCATGTAAGAGACGGAGGATCTCGTCATGTGGGACTCTGACGGGCTGTTGCCGGCGCTGGACCCTGGCTACCTGTTCTCGCGGCATGGTGAAAACGAGTGGCCCGAGGAGAGAAGACCGGCTCTGCTTGAGAAGAAAATCGGTTCCAGTCAGACAGACTTGTCGGCATACCTAAAGGGTTCGGTCAGTCAATCGGCCGGGCAGCGGGGTCGGTGGGGCTCATTGTGGCTTGCCTTGACGATTCGAAAGGCACCAGTCGGTGGCGCAGGCGCACGGAGCGGCATGTGGTCCGTGCTAAGGTAGGGCGCGGAAGGACGCGGAAGAAAGATCCTTTCGTCACGTCGTTCCTCGTTCCTCAAGGCACAGGAGACAGGAGACCGGCGCAAGCGCCGCCAATGCCTTGAGGAACGAAAGTGGCGGTGAAAGTGGCTGTGAAAGTGGCTGGTGGGCACGGAGCGGGAAGCGGCCCGTGCGTAGGGGGGTGGAAGGTTTGCGGGGGAAAGAGGCGGAAGAAAGAACCTTTCGTTCCTCAAGGCACCGGCCCCTTTCAGGGTCCGCCAATGCCTTGAGGAACTTGAGGAACGGGACTGGAGCATTCAGTTTGGTTTTCACACTGACAGGTCTGTTGAGAAGAAGATGCGGCTTGCTCTGATAGTGTGGCTGCTTGGACGCCATCTTACCCCGCTACAACATGGTGGGTTGAGGGCGGGGTAAGGACGCAATGGAAAAGGAAAGTCTAAGGAGCCAGCCTTCATCTCGAATGGCGAAGGAGTCCGAACCGTTCGTGAATCATGCAGTGAAGTGGAACAATTTGTCAAGAATCGACCCAATGCCTCCGATTGATTATTCAAAGGTGGGACAACATCGACACCGATTCGGAGCCAGAGGCATCGCCCCAGCAAGCGCCAGCGGCAACACCCACCCCGCCGCCCACGCATGCCTCCCCGGCGTTGGGTACATCAGGTTTGAGGGAAATGCACAGCAACTCAGGGCAAGTTGAAGCTGTCATTGTCCGATGCGAGGCAGAGAAACGCAAGTTTCCCCTTTGGTCTGCCACTGCAATCCCTGCGAATCATGATGTGTTTTCGCAGTCGGTGCCCTCCGTCCCAGCGCTCATCGAGGTCCCGCTGGTCCTCTATCGGACGGGGACTCAGTCCGCCAACGAGGCAGACCTCGACAACCAGATTGCTACGTACCTTAATATTGATGCCGACTCCGGGTTTGCACCTCCAGAATGGCAGTCACAAGTTGGCACCGTCGTGGTCGCGCGCAAGGACAGGAGGCCATTTTATCCGCAGCATCTTGAAGGCGTGTGGATGTTCTGCGACCACATCCTGGACCTGTTCGGGGAGGGAGACGGGCCGCCGAGATGGCTTTATAGCCGTCACGCGTTCGAGGAATGGTGGGTAAATTATTGTAAGGAGCAAAAGCGCATACGCCCTGGGAAGGGAGGGGAGCGAGATCCAGACGACTGGGGTGCGGTCCGGTCACCTTATGAAGTGTAGGACGTTTACCTGCCGCGTTACGACGTGCAAAAGGTCAAACTATCAGGATGGTTAGTATATTACCACTACTTTTCGAAACCCTGGTCCTCGTATAACCGTCTCGTTTCTGCGGCCAAGTTCTTGAGTCTCTGCATTCCATCAATTATGGCCGGATCCAGCCCATTGCCAATGAAATCATGCTGTCTCACAGGACCAAGAAGCTTGATGCCCCGAAGCGAGGTGCACCTGGACAGTTGCACATAGAGGCTCGTAAAATCGCACCTGGAGGGTTCACCATTGGTCACACGATTTCCACGCAGCTCCAACAGTACTTCCACGAACGTTTTACCCTGGGCTTTGTAATCGGTGAGGACGAACGCTGGTACGACGGGCAATCCACGTCGCGTGCATCTTGCCGACAAGAATTTGAAGTGAGAGTTACCGGTAGTCGAATCAAGTGTATGTGACATGGGGCGGATGAGTACCGTCCCCACCGGGAGGGACGGTATCGCCAAGGCCTTCGTCTCCTCGGACCGCAGAAGAATGCCGAGCGGTGGCCCGAAGTGGATGGTCACGTCATCCGCCAAGTGGTATCCTGGGTGATTGGGATCGAGTATTACGTCCACGGCAGTAAAGTCGGCCCCATTCACAACTTTCAAGCCAGTGTAGATGTTCTTGTTCACAACCACAGGCATGCCCTGGGCGTAGAAGAAGACGCCGGGGACCTTGCAAGCGGAGTCGTCACCTTGTCCTATGGTTCGCGCTACGATGTTTGGAGAAAGCGTGCCGTTGCGCCAGGTGTGAGTCGAGACAAAGATCCGGATATGCCGCTTGTTGAAGCGCGCCCAGCCCACGACAGCTTCCATGTTGAGGGCCCAGCGGGTGCGGTTCAGTGGCGTTATAGCACGCAAACCATCGTGGAAGGTGATTTGGGAGCTTCCTACAATGTTTTCGTTGAGCAAGTCGAGGTCTTGCTGCGTCTGGCGCCCGTTACGAACTCGATCCTGGAGTGCGCGAAGTTGGGGATCGTTGCGTGCCCGGACTTGGTTTTCGAGGAGCACAACGGTTTTGAACAGATGCCACAATCTGCAGCCGCTGTGGTGAGAGATGGTCGCTTGTCGCAGGGGGGTCTGTGTTCGGTCCGGCGGTCTGTTGATCAGGAGGCTTGTTTCCCGCACGGGGGCGAACTGGTTGAAGTACTGATTTGACGTGGAGTCTGTGGGTGGCGAGGTCGTCTGAGTAGATGAGAATGTCGTCGATGTAGGCTGTGCAATATCTATCAAGGAATGGGCGTAAGACTTCGTTGATTCGAGCTTGAAAGGTAGCTGGGGCGTTTGATAGTCCAAAAGGCATCACCATGCTCTCGAAGAGACCATATCTTGTGTTGAACGCCGTCATCCACTCCTGACCCTCCTTGATGCGTATTCGATTGAACGCTGCGACGACATCGAGTTTGGTGAAATACTTGGCTTGGCTTAGCTGAGAAAGTGTCTCCTGGATTAACGGTAGCGGGTAGCGGTTCTTGATGGTTATCGCGTTAAGAGCTCGGTAGTCCACGCAAAACGAAGGCCCCTCCTGGCTTCTTTGCAAATAACACCGGCGAGGCCGCCGGTGAGGTGCTAGCGCGTATAAAACCCTTGTCAAGGTTTTCCTGAAGGAATTTCCGGAGGACGAGAAGTTCGTCTTGGGACATCCCGTACAGAGGTCCATGTGGTGGAGTCGTTCCAGGTTGAAGTTCAATTTCGTGGTCGCAGTCTCGGTGTGGGGGGAGTTTATCCGCCTCTGATTGGTCGAATGCCTTCAAGAATTCATGGTAGTGTTGTGGTACTTTTGTTGCAGGATCGATCAAAGTCTTGGGTTCGAGGGCTTTGTGAATGTCTTCGAGTGATGCCCTGAAAGGTACATATCGGCTGCTATTTTCCGGGAAGCTCGGAGTTCCTGTGTTTGTTGGTCCTTGGGGTTAAGGGAGGTGATTCCGTCCTGTAGCTGGAGCTCTCGGTTCATCTTGTCCATGTCTGTGAGTGCAGAGTCGAATCGGATCCGTCGGCGTGTTTTAGGTTCTACGAAGGTGGAGGCTTCTGTGATGACCCCAAGTTCAGCCAGCCTTTTGTCGATCTCATACAGTGATAATGAGAATACGTCGACGTCGCGGTTTTTGGTCAGCATGTGGAACGCGGCTGCGCCGACTCTTCGGGGGATTGATGGGCGTGGCAGTATAGTCGTGGTTGCAGAACTTGACAAAGAGGGAGCTCCAGAAACAGGCAGTTGGTATTGTCCTTTCTCCATGCAGTATTTGCGGCAGTGATCAAAGTTGAAAGTGACCACATTCGTGCTCCAATTGACGATTGGGTTGTGATCTGTTAGCCAGGGTTTTCCAAGTAATTATGACATTATACTTCCCAAGCTTCGTTACGTAAAAAAGCATCTTCTCCTTGTGTCCCTTGATGTCCATGTTGAGCTTCACCACATGAGTGATGTCGCCAGCCGAGGAGGGTCTTCCATCGACTACGTTCAGCCGGCGACGGTTTCGTAATTCATAAAGCGTGAGTTTGTTGGTGTGCGCGAAGGATTCGTCTATAAACCCCTTTCCGGTGGCACCTGAGTCAAGCATTGCTTCGGTTTTAATCGGGGTGGAATTGTCTTCGATTAGGTTACAAGGCAGTAGCAAATGAGCTTGGTTGGTGTCCAGAGAAGAGAGCAGTAGATCGCCCTTCTTGCGTCTCCTGCGCCGACTTCCGTCGGAGACTACACTTTTCCGTCCTCCATGGTGCGGTGTCGCAATTGAGGAACGATGTTTGCCCGAGCTGCACCAATGGCAGAGTCCATGCGTTGTGCAATAGGCTCTGCGTGCCGCTCTCTGCTTCCGTTTGGGGTCTACGACCAGAGGCGACATCTTTGGCCCCCAGGTGATGACGCTCAAATCCATTGAATCCCCGCCGTTAGAGGTCGTCGATTGTGGCGTGGTGGAGGTTGTAAGGTTGCTTTGTGACTTGCTGAGTTGTCGGTGTTTTTCTTGAAGTAATTGGCATTGACTTGACGGCATTCGTTATCGCAGATACGGACAAGGTCCATAAATTGACTAAGTTCGGTAGGTGTATCTTTGCCCTTAGTGAGAGAAAGTCTCCAGATAACGTTGTCGTGGAGGGCACGTCGGAGGTGAGCAATGAGCGCCCCACTATCCCACTCGGTGAGCTTGGCGACGGCATACCATTCGGGAGGAATGTCGTAAGGGATCTATGGCCTTGTTTCATGTCAAAGATTTTGAGTTGGGCGGTAGCTTTAGCGTCAATATCCCCGAAGGCTGACTGAAGGGTGCTTTTATGGCATTGACATCGTCGAAGAGAACCACCCCATCTTTAATGTTGTAGCGGACTTGGTCATGTGCTTTGCCTTTAAGGCATGAGACGACATATCCCATACGTTGAGGTTCCGAGTTCCACCAATCTTTATTCATTTCGAGCTTCAACTCGAGGTGCTGGAGGAAATTCGGCAGAAGCGTGGGGTCCTCTCCGGTGAAGGCCTCAGGATCAGGGTGTTCTGGTGTGCGGTGTGAAGCTCCTTTGACTGAATGATCTTTAGGTATGCTTCATTTTCTGCCATAAGACGGGCGATCGTTGCGTCTCCATCACTTTTAGAAATGAGCGTGTTTTCTAGGCGGGTTTGGAGGTCCTCCATGTCCCTTATTGTCGTCGTGGTCGAGGCACGTAGTGAATCGATTACCGCTTGCATACTGTATGCGGCATTGCATACGAGGAAGACTTCTTTCATGAGACCGGCTGGGTTAGCAACAAAGGCATTTCGGAACGTTTCATTGGTATTGCTGGCGTTGAGGAGGGGCAGGGGCACTCGATCGACGGGTGTGGGGCAGCGGTAGCCATTGGGTTGTTGACGGTGTGGTGGTTTAGGTGAGAATTTGGTTGCAGGGTGTTTTGGTGAGGTTTGAAAGCGACAAGTGCGGTTTAGAACTATCGAAATCAATAGTCACGTCGCGGACGGTGATCTATTGAGGGGGGTAGTTGGTAGACAATATGTGACGGTACAAGTGCACGAACAAGGTCGGGTGCGACTTGGGTAAAGTGATTGTCTACGAAGAGAGAAGGAGGTTCCTAAGGAAGACTCTGACTTTCGCTATTTACATGAATCAAAGTGAGACATTTCATAAAGTATGAAAGTCACATGATCGTTCCCTCACAATATCGAAGCATGATTTCTCGTTGTATCGTCCATCTTCTGCATCGAAAGAGGAAATGTTCCACCGTTTCCGCCGACTGTCCGCAGGTGCACTCATCCGATTCCTCTGCCCCGATTTTGCAAAGGTAGCCATTCAGTCGTGATTTGCCAGTTCGAAGTTGTACCAACACTTCAGATTCCTTTCTAGTTAGCTCGTCGTACATCTTGCGGGTGTGCTTGCCCGGCAATGCTTTATCGATGCGCTTTGAGTGCTTTCAACCCTTTCTGGGATCTGACGAACGCGAGTGTGTTCGTTGAGCAGCAGTCGTAACGTCGTGGCTCTTGCCTGAAACGTTGCTGGTTCAGCGATGCATTCATCTCGCGTCGCTCTTTTCGCCTGCATTTTGGCCAGTGGCCCAATGGTGAACTCCTCATTCTTTGCAGGCACCCAACGAAGTCTGACTCTGCAGCCTCTTTTCGCAAGATACTCAACAGATCCGTATATCGCCCGTATCGTGCACTGACCAGACTGCTGCCGCGGTCGCCCGATGACTTGCAGGACAGAGCGGTTGCTTGTCACAACTGTGAGCTGTCGGTCATGAAGACCTAGAGGTACACACCTCAGGGCCATGGCGATTGCCTCGAGTCCTGCTGTGTAGGCATTCTGCTCATCACTGGAGCCAAGGGTGACGGAGTAGCTGGCCAGCACCTCGTCTGCGCTGTCACGGGAAGCATCCCGAACGACGCCTCCCAACCCGACCTTGCCTTTCCTTTGCGAGCTGGACGTCGCGATAGTGATGTCCTCCGGGTCATCCGACTTCAGCACCTCCGCTCGGTCTGCCTCGTACGTTGCCTGCACTCGTTCGTCCCACGGCGCCAGTGCGAACTCGTGGATGACTTCCAGGCGCTTGGTATTAGGGGTGATAGATGAAGGCGAATTTTTTGAAGATTTTGAATGAAGGATGAATCAAATGAATTGAATTTTTTGGATCTTGATTCAAAATCTTCAAGCTCCAATTTTCGCGATTCAAGTTGGGTTTGGGCCAATTCAAGCCATTCATGAATGGTTTGAAGGGATCCCCTAAACAAAGTGAATTTGGTGCGTACACGGTACCTAAGCGATCGCAAAGATCCCTCAAAAACGCCAATAAGTAGTATATAGTTTATAGCCTTCTGAGAAACCTCTCGATAATCCAGAATACTACAAAAATTAACTTACATAAATACTGATCCGCATGTCCTGTCAGGGCCCTACCTGGGACCCCTGGGTTACCGTGACACACCTGGGGACTACTACGGAAACCGCGGACGGGCACGGCACCCGCGGACGGGCACGGCACCCGCGGGCGGGCACGGGCACGGGCAGCTCCGACGGTAGGTACGGGCAGCCCCGTCATCCAGGTCCGAAGCGACAGGGAGGATATGAGGAGGTCACGGCGTTAGGAGTTATGTGGTTTTCTTTCCTCTTCATCTTAGTATTCTTTCGTTACAGAGTATCTTGCTAGCTTTGTCTGCAGTCTCCTTTCGCTCGCCGTGACATGTCCTAGGAAAATCGACCGAAAATAAGCACTTTCAAAAGCTTTGCCGAATCCTCAAAATACGTCGGTACAGCGCGTTCAAATCCGCCATTGTACACGGCTACACACTCGTAGAGCCTCAATTCTCTGAAGCCTCCATTGTATCTGGGCGGAGGGTGTTGCGAAGACCATTGCGCCATGCAGGCAAAAGTGGAACGCGCTCCAACAGGAGCGCTGCAATTGACACATATCTGATGTCTGTCTTTCTTCCCGACAGAGGGTTGATATCGCAGATTCATCGGCTTGGGAGGCAGGAGGTTTGGGGGTAGGAGGCAGACTTGCAAATAGATAAATCAAATCAAATCCGGGGTCCAATTTGATTTGATTTGGATGGCAAAATCATGGATCTGATTTGATTTGATTTGATTTGAGTCGATTTGGATCTCATTTGGATATCTGGATAACTCCACTTTTTTCCCACGACGAAATACACTGAGCCGCCCCGATAAGGTCCGCTTTGAGGCGGCCTCTCTGAGCTGTGACCATCTGTCCGGCAAGGCTAAATATTCTCTCCGGCTCTGAAGACATTGCCGGAATAGAAAAGAGGTCGATTGCCATTCGCGACAAGCGTGGATACTGGCGTCTGCGGAGAAGCCAGTACTGGATGGGATTGTCCACAAGACAATCGCCCGGATCGGTACTGGCCACCCATTCTGCGTATTCGTCACGCGTGGAGGACGGTGAGGGCGCAGGTTGGGCGCCAAGTTTCCTAATTGAGGTCATGAAGTCATCTAGGTCCGTTGTCTTCCTTGCAGCTGTGGGCTCCTCGGGTATCGTATCCTGCTCGACCGCGAGGGTTCGGTACTCCTCCCATAGCTCTTGCACAGCCGCCCTTCCTCTGGCCAACCAGTCCGGATGATCGGACCACTGCGACTCGACGGTGGACCAGCGAAACGCGGGATGGAGGACGAGGCTTGCGAGGTACGCAGGGCTATCCTCCGTAAGGGCGTAGTATTGATCCAGCTTCATCCAGCCGAGATTGCAGCCGATTCGCAGGTACGGTTCCTCGTCCCGTTCGTGCTGTAGCTTTGCCTCTTCTAGGTGCTTCAGAAGCCACTCCATTGTGAGCAAAACTTCCCAAATCGCGCCGAATTTGCCTTGTCGTGGCTGGCCCTCTAGGCGCTTTGTCGCGATCTTCAATGGTTTCAGGATCGCCAAATACTCTGCAATAACGGACCAGTCCTCAGTGACCATCTGGTCGTCCACAATTGTAGGCTTCTTGCGGCACTTCTTCGGCATCGGCTTTGCCCGTGCTGTGTCCTTCTCGCCACATATTGATTCCACTCTGTCACTTCCGCTTGGACCAGCGAATCGAGTGCATTGCGAAGCATGTAGCCCTCCATCATCGCTTCGGACGAGTTCCAGCGAGTAGCGTTGTCCATGACCACATCGTAGGTTGTTTTGTCTTCGAGGCCCAGGGCGGTGTTCTCGATGGATTGGAGCATGTGGAGCCTTTCAATGCGCTGCCCAGACCTTTCCACCCAGTGAACGATATTGTGCAACTTGCCGATGGGGCCCTTGATCTCCAGAGTCTGACCTCATCTTGGATCTCTTTGTTGGCTTGGCAATCCTCTTCGAACGCGTCGGCGTCCGTGCCGAAAAGGATGGATCGGGCGACGAGGTTGATGATGTGGCCGCAGCAACGGAGCCGACGATGCTGCTTGTTGAACCCCAACTCAGCGCCCAAGTCTTCAAGGCACGTGTCGTTGCTCTCCGCATTGTCTGTGACAAAATATCCAACGCGATCCTCGAACCCATACTCGTGGATTATCTCGCTGACACGGTCGGCCAGGTTTTCCACAGTGGCGACCTTCAATCCGTGGCAAGCCGAGGAGAAACGTACGGAACTTCCCTTCGTCATCAATAAAGTGTACGGTAAGGCCGAGCAGAGATGTGAATTTTCGGGAGGACCAAGCATCAAAGGAGACGTTGATGCGGCTGAGCGACCGACGAAGCAATTCCGTCACGACACCTTTGTGACAATTGAAGGAGCGCACAATCCAGTCGCGTATTGTGCTATGAGTGGGAATACTGCCCGAATCCGCAATTGCGCTGTTCGCGTAAGCCATAAGGTCGCGAAAGTACGGACTCTCCAGTTTGTGGAATGGTATGTTGTCGCATGCCACCCAGCGTATCAAGAGATGTTGAAAGCGAAGCGGTTCAAAGGACGAGATGAAGGCATTCATCAGAGCCTGATCCTTCGGTCGGTTGGAGTCTAGGTCAACCACGTCGAAAAGAGTGCGTTGCTTCTTCCTCTGTGGTAGCATTGGCCCGCCTTTGTTGATGTGGTGAATTTCTTCCATGTGACTGTTCGCTTGACTTGTGGATGCAGCATCGTACATATGGGTAATTGTAGCCTTCTTCCCGTGGCAGGCCTTGCAAAGCCAAAACCGATGACCGGAATCGGTTTTCTCGATATCGAACCCATGCTCCCATACCCATCCCGTCCGCGCTCTTTTTCTATACTTGCGTATGGAGAAACCGAGAGGCGATTCCAATCGATGCCTTCATATCCAACGTAGTCGATCGAAGGTGATGTGTCAAGGTCGGGGAGCTCTCGGGAGCGCTAAAACTGGTGGACGGGACACTAGAAAGGGCGGCTGACAGCGCCTCGCCTTCTGCTGTATGCGCCATTGCAGTCAAGTGCAGAGCTGTCCCATTTTGGCCACCGGCTACAAATATTTCCCCCAGTAATATGGCAGACGCACCCAAAGATATATTTCACGATCAAACGTGTCAGGTAAAACGCAAAAAGAAAGCTTAGTGACACGGCCTGGAAAAGCAACTGCCAGTAATAAGCGACCGCTCTGGGCCGGGGCTGGCTCCCAAAAATTATTGGCCCAGGTCGCCATTGTGGGGCGTATCCAAATAATTGTCACGGCGAGCGAAAGGGGACTGCAGACAAAGCTAGCAAGATACTCTGTAACGAAAGAATACTAAGATGAAGAGGAAAGAAAACCACATAACTCCTAACGCCGTGACCTCCTCATATCCTCCCTGTCGCTTCGGACCTGGATGACGGGGCTGCCCGTACCTACCGTCGGAGCTGCCCGTGCCCGGAGCTGCCCGTCCGAGCTGCCGTCCGCGGGTGCCGTGCCCGTCCGCGGTTTCCGTAGTAGTCCCCAGGTGTGTCACGGTAACCCAGGGGTCCCAGGTAGGGCCTGACACTACCCCTCCTTCCGGAGAGCTCGCCCGAGCTCTGACCAATGCCGTAATGCCAATACCCAGAGACATACCTACTTCGTTACCCGCCGTCGCCTCATTTTTGTGTTGTCTTGCCGTTGAGTCGGGAGGTCGTCATCTGGTGTGTCTAGGGCGACTTGGTCCGTCGCCGCTGCTTGATCCATGCAGCTAAGCGGCCCGGAGGGCCAGGCTTATCGGGGTGGGCGTTGTGGAAGTGTTGTAGGGCTAGCGGAGCGTTTTGAAGTTACTCGCTAGATACCAATCTGGGTCCGGGTCCCAACCCTTCCAACTAACCTGGTATTGCAGCTTTCCCCTGGCAATCCTGGATGCAAGGACTTGGTCGATCTCCCACTCGGATTCCCCCTGTATGACTACCGGCGGGGGCGGTTCGTAGGTCTGTCCTGGTACCGGATCCGAGGGCGCTTTAAGTAGTCGGCTAGCGTTAATAACCCGGTGGATTTTCATCGTTGGTGGTAGGTCCAATTCGAAAGCGTTTGGCCCTTTGCCGATAAGACCCGAAACGGGCCTAGGTAGGGTTGATCAAGCCGTCACTCGGGCGTCCCGTTGACCAGTGTCCCTTTTCAGGTATACCAGGTCGCCTACCTCCCAGTCGACCTCCCTACGGCGTTTATCCGCCTGCCGCTTGTATTCCGCCTGCTTGGTGAGTAGGGTTTCCTCGCCCACCGGACCCCTCGGCGGCCCGGGAGGCGAACTGCTGCGCCGCTGTTCGCCCTAGCTGCTCTCTGGGGGGGGCCGTCGCTGTGGGTGGCGCCACGGACCAGTCGAACGACATTCGGGGTAAGTATCCCATCTCAAGCTCCGCAGGTGCTGACCGATGCTCTCGTGTGGGTGGGTTGAGTGTGCGAAATCCAAGCAGGGGAGCATTTCGGACCAGTTATCCTGGTAGTAGTCTAGATAGGGACGGAGCTTTGTCTGTAGGAACTGGTTTATTATCTCGGTCTGACCGTCCGTCTGAGGATGTTCGGCCGTAGATAGCTTCATCTTCGTCCCCACGAGGCGACAAAGTTCGTTCCAAAGCTCGAAATAAACTGCGGCCCGCGATCTGACGTAATGGTCTCCGGTGCGCCGTAGGTCCTCCAGATATGCTCGTAGAAAAGCCAGGCCATATCCTGCGCGGTACAGGTCGTATATGTCGGTAGGGAGAACGTCCTCTTGCTCAACCGACAGACCGTAACGAAGACCGCCGTATACCCCTTCTTGTCTCGTGGCATTGTCTTAAAGTCCATAGAGATGTGCTGCCAGGGGCGCTCCGGAATTGGCAGTGGCTGGAGTAGTCCCGCTGGTCGGAGGCGGGAGTCTTGGGACCGCTTGCAGTCCGCGCAGTTCGCGCAGTAACGGTCAATAAAACCTCCTATCCCGAGCCAGTAGTACCGTCTCGTTAAGATCTTCCTCATCTTATTCCGGCCGGGATGTGCCTGACTTCGCGGACGGTGCGCCTCGTGACAAAGGGCAGTCCGTAGGTTCGCCTCGTCGGGGACGACTAGTCGTCCATCGTAACAGAGGAGGCCACTCTGGACTTGGAACCGGGAGTCTGGTATCTCTGCTTGCTCCTTTCGGAGCGTAGCGAGGGTGAAGCCCGGTTTGCCTGGAGGATCGCTTCGATAAGCTCGAATCCTTCCAGTAGGCACCCATCTCTAGAGTTTGGGGTCTCGGCTTGTCTTGCGGAACCGGGGGTATATGGCAATAGTAGGGTCGTCTCCGCCTGCGGCGCCTGCGGCTATAGCAGCCCCTCCCGTCGTGCCCCCTGCAAACTGAGTTGCTGGGATTAGGATCTGCGAGCGGTTCAACTCCTTGAGCGCCTTCTGTAACTGCACGTCCTGGGCCTTGCGGGAAAGAGCGTCGGCGACGACGTTTTGCTTGCCCGGGCGATAGTGGATTTCGAATCCAACCATAGCAAGGGTCTCGATCCATCGAGCTTGCCGTGCGTTTAGCATCCTCTTTGTAGCGAAGTACTGGAGGGCTTGGTGGTCGGTGAAGATCTTGATGACTCCGGGAGCGACTAGGGATACAAGGGCATCCATTCCTTCAGGCACACGATAATAGCCAGGAGCTCCTTATCGTGTATCTCATAGTTACACTCCGCTGCGTTCATCGTTTTCGTAAGGAACGAGACCGGGTGCCATTGTCCATCGTCCGCTAGTTGTGAGAGCACGCCCGCGATAACCCCATCCGACGCGTCAGTCTCTAGCTTCGTCTCGCGGTCCTCTATGAAGTGGACGAGGACTGGCGCGGTAGTTAGAGCTGTCTTTAGGGTCTCGAAGGCCTCAAGGCACCGGTCGTCGAAATCCCACCTACTCTCCCTGTCAAGCGGTTTAGGGTCGGCAGATTCTACCGTAGTTACGGATAAACCGACGGTAGAAGTTGCAGAATCCGAGGAAGGACTGCAGCTCTTTTTGCATCGTGGGTCTGCCAGGTCAGGATAGCCGAGACTTTCCTAGGGTCGACGGAGATACCATCCGTACTAATAATAAACCCAAGGAAATCCGTCTTTGTGACACCGAATTCGCATTTCTTGATGTCTACTTGAAGACCCGCTTCCCGAAGTCGCTCTAGAACGAGCCGTACGTGTCGCATATGTTCCTTCTTATCTTCGGAGAACACGAGGATATCATCGAGGTAGGCCGTACAGAAAGAGTCGAGGTAGTCCCAAAGGGTCGTGTTAATAAACCGTTGGAACGTACTAGGCCCGTTGCATAACCCGAAGGGAAGGACCTTGTAGTGGAACTGGCCGTAACGCGTGCGGAAGGCGGTTAGTTCGACTGAATCCGGTTCGAGCCGGATCCGGTGGAACGCCTGCCTAATATCTAGCTTCGTAAATATCTTCGCCTTCGCAATGCGGTCTAGGGTCTCGCTAATAAGAGGATAGGGTACCGATCCTTCTTAGTTAGCTGATTGAGTTCCGGAAATCTACGCAAAAACGCAGCTTGCCATCCTTCTTTTTGCAAAACAGACAGGGATCCGAACTGTGCGCTGCTTGGCTCAATGAAGCCCTTCTGGAGACTATCCTGTAAATACTCCTTCATAGTCTCCAGCTGTTCGCGGTTAAGGCTGTACAATGGGTGCGTTCGTAACGCAGCAGGCCCTGTTAGTTCGATCTTATGGTCTACCCCTGGGCGGGACGGAGGCATCCTATTGCTGTCCTCGCGGGAGAACACGTCGGCTAGGTCTGCGAGCTCTGGAGGTAGCTTTTCTGCGAGGAAACGGTCGTCCTCGTCCTGTTGGTTATCCTGCTCGCCCCTTTCCCCGAGCGCCTTATCGATCATGTGAAGGTTGAGGAAAGTCACATCTTCGTAGGCATGCCGATGGTCCTTCCTGCGACGGATACCTGCGTGGAATGCTGGTGCCGAAATCATCAGTATATCGAGATCCTGCGCCCTCCGTTGGTACCGTGGCCTGATATCCTTCTGGCAGGGTCTCTCCACTCGATGCCCGCCAGTGCTCGGTTCATCTTCCCAGGTCATCCCCTCGATGAGTAGAGTACCGTGGACGATGTTGCCGTGGGCCGATGGTGCTCGTGGCCCTGTTGGTTCCTGTATCGCGGGAGAGATCTGGATGATATGGGCCGCGCCGTCTTCTTCCTGGTCCTGTCTTTCTGCTTCTTCCCAAAGGTGGTCTCGCCGCTCTACGTCGGCCTGAACTCGTAGGGAAACTGGCTTCGGTACATAAGACGAGAAGCCTTAAGTGCAATATCCGGGATCCAGTCCCTCTGGGCTTCCAGCTCAGGAGGGAAGATAAGGCGACGACGGCGGCAGTCGAGACGGATATCGAAATGGCTCAAGAACATAAGTCCTACGATCAGGTGGAAATCGTTCCTCGTCCCATGAAGATTGCAGGGCGCGCATGCGGGCTTGCCTTCCATTCTTCCTGCTTGGGACGATAATTTCGCTTCGTATTCTTCGGCTGGGTGTTCTCCAGATCTAACAGGTAGTGCTCAATGGCCGCCCTGACCCGGGGATCCTCTATCGCGTTCGACATGGTGCAGGCGGTCGCCGTCGCGACGGTGGCAATGGAGGAGGTGGAGGAGGTGGGAGGAGGGAGGTGGAGCGCAACGCGCGTGAGCGAGACCGAAATCGAAGGTCTCGCGCAGGGCCCCGCGGGCGTGGACCTTCGATTTTGCCGTCCGATGGCGGTAATCCGACTAAGAAAACGCCAGCCCCGCAGGGCCGGGCCTTCGAAAACGACATGGTTTTGCGTGGGGCGGGGCGGTAATCCGATTACCGGATGACCGGTCAGCCGGCCCCGGGACCTGTGACACCAATTATTATCGGCGGCCATCTCTCCGAATTCGATGGGCTCGAGCTTATCCAGAACAACTCCACACGCTGGAATTCGTGGTTTCATTCGATCACACGAGCGTTAAATGTTCGAGAACGTTTGGAAATCTTCTCAGCTCGTCATGTACCAGGGAGAGGGTCTCAAGGGATTTCGAACTTCAAACTAGATGGACAGCACTGGTTCGAGCTTGAAAAGATCGAGCTCGCACTAAAAGACTTCTTCGCGGCAACTATGCTTGCTGAAGGAAACAAGACATCCCTCGCTGACTGGTTTTCGACTTTGGACTGTCTTCTCCGCGAGATCAACGAGACGAAGGATCACTACCATGACATTCACGAGGAAGACGACGACGACAACTTCACGTGGAGGTATCTCCAAGGTTGTGCAGATGCTGCGTGGTCAAAGTGCGAGGAGTATTACAGCAACCGACAACGGAATTGGCAACATCGATTTCCTGAAGATACTGATCTTCCGCCAGCGTATTACGCAGCTCAAGTACTCAATCCGTATCGAAAGTGGGCATGGTTCAGGCAAGAATGGGTTCTTCAGGGCGACGAAGGAAGACAGAAGTGGTATGAAAGCGCACAGCTGGCGGTGAAGCAGCTCTGGGAGACAGAGTATAAGGAAAGTACCCTGTTGAGGCGCTACCACCTCCAGTCAGGAAGGACAAGGATCCAGACCCAGCATTCGATCGGCAGAGGGAACATAAGCGCATTCGCATAGACGGCCCGGCTGCTGCCACCGATCTGTATGAGCAGTATATTTCGACCGACCGGCTGCATGACGAGGAGGCAGGTTGCGATGAGGCCATCGCCTATTGGCTATCCCGTTATGACTCGCAAGAGACCTCGCCCGCTTCGCTCTGGATCTATTTGCGGTTTCCAATGTCAGATGAGTGCGAACGGCTGTTTAGTAGCGCAAAGCTTGGTATAGTTGATCGTCGAGGTAGGCTTAAGGCAGATATCATAGAGGCTTGTGAGTGTCTACGTGCCTGGTATGGGAAGCCTCGGGCTGAGGATAGCGAAGATAGCGGGGATAGCGAGAATGAAAGCGAATAAGCGATCAAGTTGACAGCTAGTAGCCAATACATTTCCTATTTTTGCAACCCGCCTCATTCTGAGCGGTCTTGGCGGTATTACTGGTATTACCGGTAAGCCATACCGGTAAGGATATCAGCAGGTGGTATGGTATGGTATAGAGGTCATACCATACCATACCGGACCATTCCGATCACTGATTGAGTCGTCGTAGAGAAATTCTGCCACGGTTTCCTTCGCAAATTGTGATTGATCAATCATCAGCTTTCCATTGTGCCTTTGAATCCGAATTCCGAGAATGTTCTCTGCTTCTCCGAGGTCTTTCATCTCAAATCTTCCCTTCAGCTTTTCCTTGACCCGTTCAATGGCAACCTCGTCCCCCCCTGTAATCATAAAGTCATCCACGTGCACGCCGATGATTACCCCCGACTCTGTATGTCTGAATATTGTCGGATCCACTGTCATCGGTGAGAAACCAATCTCCTTGAGATATTCTGATATTAGCAAATACCACATCCTTGCTGCTTGCTTCAATCCGTACAAACTCTTCAGGATCTGAACGTATTTCCCGAAATATTGCTGGAGCTCAGTTGGCACTTTCATGAAGATCCTTTCCTTTAGGTCTGCTGCAAGGAACGCAGCCACAGCATCCATCTGGTATACCTTCCAGCCTTTCTTCGCCGCTAAAGCTAGAATGATCCTCATCGCATCGAGCCGGATCGTGGGTGCGAAGGTTTCCTCGTAATTGATCCCGTGTTTCTGTGTGAACCTCTCGCGACTAGACGTGCTTTATACCGTAGTATCTTCCCTTCTTTGTCTTTCTTGTGATCAAACACAAGCTTGGCATCAACTACTTCTTCTCCGTGCACGTCAACTTCGTTGATTTCCTCCGAGAATGTCTGTCGTCGAATGAGATTCTGAACTTCCTCATCTATAGCTCCTACCCATTGATCCTTCTCACTGCCTTCCATCGCCTGTCGGAAGGTAAGCTTTTCGGGTCGAAGTCGTACAGGTCTGTATTAGGCTGGAGAAGCGTCCTTGCTACCATGGCTCTTTCCTTCCTGCCACTCTCCCTCGCTTCTTCAGACGTTCTGCCATGCGCTGTTCTTCTCTTTGCCGCCATTCCAGCTCTGCTCGCTGCTTCTCTGCTCTTTTGAGTGCCACGGCCTCTCGTTGAATCTGGGATCTTGTTTTCGGCAGACTCCTTTCAGGAGAGGTTATATCCGCCTCCCTGTATTGACAATGATTGTGTCTCCTTGGAGCTCTTCCTCCGAATCTGCAGTGTCTTGGTCGGTCGGGTTCCCATCCGCTGCTTCTCCGGCATCCTCCCCAGCTTCTGTAGCTTCCTGGTCCGTAGTCCTATCCCCGACCGAATCTTCGGCATCAGAGTCATCATCAGTGAGCTCCCCTTGCTCCTTTTTCTCTTCCTTCTCATCGTCATACTGCGATTGTGATTCTTGGCTGATTTCATTGTCCATATACTTGCTCTCATCGAATTCCACGAATCGAACCTCGTGGACCTTCTTATCAGCTGGGTTCCAGACTAGATAGATTTTATCTGTCTCCTCTTTGTATCCAACAAAACTCCTTGCCATGCTCTTTTCAGAAGCTTTGTTCTCTTTTCTTTGGGAATAAATACCCAGGCAGGACATCCGAACACTCTCAAGTGCCCTGATCTTGGCTTCTCTCCACGCCATAACTCCCATGGGCTTTTAGCCATTCCCTTGACAACTCCCCTATTTCTCAGATAGGCCGCTGTTGCATTCGAAAACTCCCAGTATGCTGCCGGGAGGTCCATTTCGTGACGCATAGCAGACCCCCTCTCTGATATGGTTCTCATGCTCCTCTCAGAGATACTATTCCCCTCCGGGTGGTAGCCCACTGTTGGTTCGATCCGAATAGCTCTCCCGTGCAAAATACCTTCATTGCCTCGTTTAGAAACTCCTTTCCGCGATCAAAGCGCATCGCCTTGACCTTTTCGCCTTTTCCGTACTCGCGACACTCCGCCTCTGCAACAACTACCCAGGCTTTGATCTTGTCGGTAATTCTCGTTTTGTCTCTAGAGAAATAAACCCAAACTCGCCCGG